ATAGAGGGGATAGAGGGGGTAATGGGGGTAATGGGGGCACTGGGAGCACTGGTGGACAGCTGTGCCCCGGGTCAGTATAGACATAGAGATAGATAGAGGGGATAGAGGGGGTAATGGGGGTAATGGGGGTGCCTGCTGGGCTGGATCCAGAACCGGCTGCCCCAGCTGCCCATCACCAACTTCAGCCGCGACTGGCAGAGCGGGAGGGCACTGGGAGCACTGGTGGACAGCTGTGCCCCGGGTCAGTATAGAGATAGAGATAGAGAGAGGGGATAGAGGGGGTAATGGGGGTAATGGGGGCACTGGGAGCACTGGTGGACAGCTGTGCCCCGGGTCAGTATAGAGATAGAGATAGATAGAGGGGATAGAGGGGAATGGGGGTAATGGGGGCACTGGGAGCACTGGTGGACAGCTGTGCCCCGGGTCAGTATAGACATAGAGATAGATAGAGGGGATAGAGGGGGTAATGGGGGTAATGGGGGTGCCTGCTGGGCTGGATCCAGAACCGGCTGCCCCAGCTGCCCATCACCAACTTCAGCCGCGACTGGCAGAGCGGGAGGGCACTGGGAGCACTGGTGGACAGCTGTGCCCCGGGTCAGTATAGAGATAGAGATAGAGAGAGGGGATAGAGGGGGTAATGGGGGTAATGGGGGCACTGGGAGCACTGGTGGACAGCTGTGCCCCGGGTCAGTATAGAGATAGAGATAGATAGAGGGGATAGAGGGGGTAATGGGGGGTAATGGGGGCACTGGGAGCACTGGTGGACAGCTGTGCCCCGGGTCAGTATAGACATAGAGATAGATAGAGGGGATAGAGGGGGTAATGGGGGTAATGGGGGCACTGGGAGCACTGGTGGACAGCTGTGCCCCGGGTCAGTATAGAGATAGAGAGAGATAGAGGGGATAGAGGGGGTAATGGGGGTAATGGGGGCACTGGGAGCACTGGTGGACAGCTGTGCCCCGGGTCAGTATAGACATAGAGATAGAGAGAGGGGATAGAGGGGGTAATGGGGGTAATGGGGGCACTGGGAGCACTGGTGGACAGCTGTGCCCCGGGTCAGTATAGAGATAGAGATAGATAGAGGGGATAGAGGGGGTAATGGGGGTAATGGGGGCACTGGGAGCACTGGTGGACAGCTGTGCCCCGGGTCAGTATAGACATAGAGATAGATAGAGGGGATAGAGGGGGTAATGGGGGTAATGGGGGCACTGGGAGCACTGGTGGACAGCTGTGCCCCGGGTCAGTATAGAGATAGAGATAGATAGAGGGGATAGAGGGGTAATGGGGGTATGGGGGCACTGGGAGCACTGGTGGACAGCTGTGCCCCTCTTGGTCAGACAGGTAGACAGAGAGATAGATAAGAGGCAATATAGAGGGGGTAATGGGGGGATGGGGGCACTGGGAGCACTGGTGGACAGCTGTGCCCCGGGTCAGTATAGAGATAGAGATAGATAGAGGGGATAGAGGGGAATGGGGGTAATGGGGCACTGGGGAGCACTGGTGGACAGCTGTGCCCCGGGTCAGATAGAGATAGAGATAGATAGAGGGGATAGGGGTAATGGGGGTAATGGGGGCACTGGGAGCACTGGTGGACAGCTGTGCCCCGGGTCAGTATAGAGATAGAGATAGATAGAGGGGATAGAGGGGATAGAGGGGGTAATGGGGGCACTGGGAGCACTGGTGAGCACTGGTGGACAGCTGTGCCCCGGTTAGTATAGACATAAGAGAGAGATAGAAGGGAGAGGGTAGCAAAGAGGTAATGGGGGCACTGGGAGCACTGGTGGACAGCTGTGCCCCGGGTCAGTATAGAGATAGAGATAGATAGAGGGGATAGAGGGGATAGAGGGGGTAATGGGGGCACTGGGAGCACTGGTGAGCAGCTGTGGCCAAGGGCTATGGGGCCTGCACCCCCTCCCCCGTTGCTGACCCAGTCCCCCCCCCCAGGGCTCTGCCCCGATTGGGACTCGTGGGACCCCAGCAAACCGGTGGAGAACGCGCGCGAGGCCATGCAGCAGGCGGACGAGTGGCTCGGCATCCCCCAGGTGCGGGCACCCAGCACCCACTGACACCCATTGAGCCCTATGGGGCACCCATTGACACCCACTGACCCCTATAGGGCATCCCCCAGGTGCGGGCACCCAGCACCCACTGACCCCTATGGGGCACCCATTGACACCCACTGACACCCACTGACACCCATTGACCCCTATGGGGCACCCATTGACCCCCACTGACACCCATTGACCCCTATGGGGCATCCCCCAGGTGCGGGCACCCAGCACCCATTGACACCCATTGACACCCATTGACCCCCATTGACCCCCATTGACACCCATTGACACCCATTGACACCTATGGGGAACCCACTGACCCCCACTGACCCCTATTGACATCCCCCATTTGCTGGCACCCAGCCCCATTGACTCCCATTGAACTCCACTGACACCCACTGACCCCTATAGGGCATCCCCCAGGTGCAGGCACCCAGCACCCATTGACCCCTATGGGGCACCCACTGACACCCATTGACACCCACTGACACCCATTGACCCCCACTGACACCCATTGACCCCTATGGGGCACCCAGTGACGCCCTGGCTGCCCCCCAGGTGATCACCCCCGAGGAGATCGTGGACCCCAACGTGGACGAGCACTCGGTCATGACCTACCTGTCCCAGTTCCCCAAGGCCAAGCTGAAGCCGGGGGCCCCCCTGCGCCCCAAACTCAACCCCAAGAAGGCGCGAGCCTACGGCCCGGGTAAGGGGGTGCCCCACAGATGGGGGTCACCTCAAAGGGGGGGGGTTTGACAGAGGGACGGGGGGCAGAGGGTGGGGGACAGAGAGCCCCATAGAGGGTGCTGGGGCTGCCCCATAGAGGGTGGTGCCGTGGGGCTGGTGCCACATAGCGGCTGTGCCATGGGGCTGGTGCCCCATAGCGGGCAGTGCCGTGGGGCTGGGTGCCCCATAGCGGGCGGTGCCGTGGGGCTGGTGCCCCACAGCGGGCAGTGTCATGGGGCTGGTGCCCCATAGGGGGCAGTACTGTGGGGCTGGTGTCCCATAGCGGGTGGTGCCGTGCGGCTGGGTGCCCCATAGCAGCCGTGCCATGGGTCTGCCCCATAGCGGCAGTGCCGTTGGGCTGGTGCCCCATAGCGGCAGTGCCGTGGGGCTGGTGCCCCATAGCGGGTGGTGCCGTGGGGCTGCCCCATAGCGGCAGTGCCGTAGGGCTGGTGCCCCATAGGGGGCAGTGCCGTGGGGCTGCCCCATAGCGGCCGTGCCATGGGTCTGCCCCATAGCGGCAGTGCCGTGGGGCTGGTGCCCCATAGGGGGCAGTGCCGTGGGGCTGGTGCCCCATAGCGGCCGTGCCGTGTGGCTGCCCCATAGCGGCAGTGCCGTAGGGCTGGTGCCCCATAGCGGCTGTGCCGTGGGGCTGCCCCATAGCGGCCGTGCCATGGGTCTGCCCCATAGCGGCTGTGCCGTGGGGCTGCCCCATAGCGGCCGTGCCATGGGTCTGCCCCGTGCCGCAGGCATCGAGCCCACCGGGAACGTGGTGAAGCAGCGAGCGGAGTTCACGGTGGAGACCATCAGCGCCGGGCAGGGGGAGGTGCTGGTGTACGTGGAGGACCCGGACGGGCACCGCGAGGAGGTCGGAGCCATGGGTGCCATGGGTGCTATGGGTGCTATGGGTGCCATGGGTGCCATGGGTGCTATGGGTGCTATGGGTGCTATGGGTGCCATGGGTGCTATGGGTGCCATGGGTGCTATGGGTGCCATGGGTGCCATGGGTGCTATGGGTGCTATGGGTGCCTATGGGTGCTATGGGTGCTATGGGTGCTATGGGTGCCATGGGTGCTATGGGTGCCATGGGTGCTATGGGTGCTATGGGTGCCATGGGTGCCATGGGTGCTGTGGGTGCCATGGGTGCTATGGGTGCTATGGGTGCTATGGGTGCTGTGGGTGCTATGGGTGCTGTGGGTGCCATGGGTGCTATGGGTGCTGTGGGTGCTATGGGTGCTATGGGTGCTATGGGTGCTATGGGTGCTATGGGTGCCATGGGTGCTATGGGTGCCATGGGTGCTATGGGTGCTGTGGGTGCCATGGGTGCTATGGGTGCCATGGGGGGATGTGGGGCTCTGGGGGTCTCACATCTCCCCCCCCCAGGCTAAGGTTGTGCCCAACAACGACAAGAACCGAACCTTCTCCGTGTCCTACGTGCCCAAAGTGACCGGCGTGCACAAGGTGGGGCTCTATGGGGTCTATGGGCTCTATGGGGTTCTATGGGGCTCTATGGGGCTCTATGGGGCTCTATGGGGCTCTATGGGCTCTATGGGGCTCTATGGGGCTCTATGGGGCTCTATGGGGCTCTATGGGGCTCTATGGGGTCTATGGGGCTCTATGGGGCTCTATGGGGCTCTATGGGGTTCTATGGGCTCTATGGGGCTCGGGGGGCTGGGGGGCTCCAAGGGGGTGGCCTCAGCATGGGGGGTCCTGGAGCTGCAGGAGAGAGGCTGGGGCAGGATCCATTGAGCTCCCCTATGGAGACATTGAGCTCCCTCCCCTATGGCCCCATTGAGCTCCCCTATGGATCCATTGAACCCCTATGGATCCATTGAGGACATTGAGCTCCTGCCCCTATGGATCCATTGAACCCCTATGGATCCATTGAGGACATTGAGCTCCTGCCCCTATGGATCCATTGAACCCCTATGGATCCATTGAGGACATCGAGCTCCTGCCCCTATGGATCCATTGAGCTCCCCTATCTCCCCTCTGAGCCCCCCATCCCCCCTGACTGCCCCCCAGCCCCACTGAGCCCCCCAGCCCCCCTGAGCCCCCCAGCCCCCCTGAGTGCCCCTATGGCCCCCCTGAGCCCCCCATCCCCCCCTCCCCCCGCGCAGGTGTGGGTGCTCTTCGCGGGCCAGAACATCTCCAAGAGCCCCTTCGAGGTCCAGGTCGGGGGCGCCGCGGGCGACGCCTCCCGGGTCACGGCGCAGGGCCCGGGGCTGGAGCCCACTGGGAACGTGGTCAACAGGGGCAGCCACTTCGATGTGTGCACAGCAGGTACGGTATGGGGGGGTACAGTACAGTATAGGGGTACAGTACAGTACAGTATGGGGGGGCAGCCACTTCGATGTGTGCACGGCAGGTACGGTATGGGGGGTACAGTACAGTATGGGGGTACAGGGGGGTATAGGGGTACAGTATGGGGGATACAGTACAGTACAGTATGGGGGGGCAGCCACTTCGATGTGTGCACGGCAGGTAAGGGGGTACAGTGGGGTATGGTATGGGGTATGGGGGTACAGTACAGTACAGTATGGGGGGGCAGCCACTTCGATGTGTGCACGGCAGGTAGGGATAGAGGGGTACAGTACAGTATAGGGGTACAGTACAGTATGGGGGGGCAGCCACTTTGATGTCTGCACAGCCGGTGAGGATATGGGGGTACAGGGGGGTACAGTGTGGGCTATGGGGGTACAGTGGGGTATGGTATGGGGTATGGGGGGTACAGTACAGTATGGGGGGGCAGCCACTTTGATGTCTGCATGGCCAGTAGGGATAGAGGGGGATATAGAGGGGTACGGGGGGATATAGAGGGGTACAGTGGGGTATGGTATGGGGATATAGAGGGGTACAGTACAGTATTGGGGTATGGTATGGGGTTAAGGGGGGGCATGGGGGTGAGATATGGGGAGGGAATGGGAGTATGGGGGGGTTATGGGGGAGAATGGGGGGCAAATGGGGAGGAAATGGAATGGGGGTGAATGGGGAGGGGAGAATAGGGGGGGGAAATGGGGGGGTCCAAAGGGGTTTACGGGCTTTAAATGGGCTTGGGAATGGAATTTGGGGGCTCCAAGGGGGGTTTGGGGGGGTCTGAAGGGGTTTAGAGGGGCTCTAAGGGGGGGCTCTAAGGGGGGTCCCTGTGGGGGGGTCTCTGGGGGGGTCTCCGTGGTCTCCGGTCGCTGACGCCGCCCCCTGTGCGCAGGCGCGGGCCCGGGCGAGCTCGCGGTCTCCATCGTGGACCCCAGCGGCCGCCGGGGGGCGGTGGAGCCGACGCTGGAGCCGCGCGGGGACGGCTCCTTCCGGTGCAACTTCCGGCCCGCGGCGGAGGGCACGCACAGCGTGCACGTGACCTACGGCGGCGTGCCCATCCCCCGCAGCCCCTTCAGCGTCCACGTGGGGCCGGGTGAGCCCCGCCCCCCTACACACACACCATGCGGGGGGTGGGGCTGCCCCATAGATGGGGTCTCTGTGCTCCTGCCCCATAGATGGGGGTCTCTGTGCTCCTGCTCCCCCCCAATGGGGGTCTTTGTGCTCCTGCCCCATAGATGGGGGTCTCTGTGCTCTGGCTCCCCCCCAATGGGGGTCTCTGTGCTCCTGCTCCCCCCAATGGGGGTCTCTGTGCTCGTGCCCCATAGATGGGGGTCTCTGTGCTCCTGCTCCCCCCAATGGGGGGTCTCTGTGCTCCTGCTCCCCCCCAATGGGGTTCTCTGTGCTTCTGCCCCATAGATGGGGGTCTCTGTGCTCGTGCCCCATAGATGGGGGTCTCTGTGCTCGTGCCCCATAGATGGGGGTCTCTGTGCTCCTGCCCCATAGATGGGGGTCTCTGTGCTCGTGCCCCATAGATGGGGGTCTCTGTGCTCCTGCCCCATAGATGGGGGTCTCTGTGCCTCTGCCCCCCCCAGGCCCTCGGGGGGGGTCTCTGCTGACTCTGCTCTGTCTCTGTCCTGCTCCTTCTATGGGGAAGCTCCAGACCCACACGGGGACGCAGCCACGGTACGGGGGGGGGGGGGTCCCCATTTCCATCCCCCTCCTTCGGGTGCTGCACCCCCCATAGCACCCTATGGGGTCACCCCCTTCCCATGGACCCCAGCGTGCATTGGGGTCCCCTCTCTCCCCCTTTCCATGGGGCCGGGTTTGGGGTCCATGGGGCTGGGTTTGGGGTCCATGGGGCCGGGTTTGGGGTCCATGGGGCTGGGTTTGGGGTCCATGGGGTTGGGTTTGGGGTCCATGGGGCCGGGTTTGGGGTCCATGGGGCAGGGTTTGGGGTCCATGGGGCAGGGTTTGGGATCCATGGGGCAGGGTTTGGAGTCCATGGGGCAGGGTTTGGGATCCATGGGGCAGGGTTTGGGGTCCACGGGGCCGGGTCTGGGGTCCATGGGGCCGGGTTTGGGGTCCATGGGGCAGGGTTTGGCGTCCATGGGGCCAGGTTTGGGATCCATGGGGCTGGGTTTGGGGTCCATGGGGCAGGGTTTGGGGTCCATGGGGCCAGGTCTGGGGGTGCCCCATGGCCTGACCCCCCCCTGCCCCCAGCCTGCACCCCCTCCCTGGTCCGCGCCGTGGGGCGGGGGCTGCAGCCCAAGGGGCTGCGCGTGAAGGAGCCGGCGGAGTTCAAGGTCTACACCAAGGGGGCCGGCAATGGGGAGCTCAAGGTCACCGTCAAGGGGCCCAGTGAGTGCGGGGCTCTGGGGGGTCTATGGGGATCTATGGGGCTCTGGGCTTTAGGGGTCTATGGGGCTCTATGGGGGCTCTGGGGGCTTCTATGGGGGCTCTATGGGGGTCTATGGGGGCTCTGTGGGGGTCTATGGGGCTCTATGGGGGCTCTATGGGGCTCTATGGGGGCTCTATGGGGCTCTATGGGGTTCTATGGGGCTCTATGGGGCTCTGTGGGGGCACTGGGTGCTGCAGTGGGTGCTATGGGCGTGCTATGGGGGAAATGGGGGTGCTATGGGAGGATTGGGGGTGCATTGGGGGTGCTATTTGTGGAAATGGGGGTGCTATGGGAGGATTGGGGGTGCTATTGGGGGTGCTATTTGTGGAAATGGGGGTGCTATGGGGGCATTGGGTGTTGCAGTGGGTGCTATGGGTGTTCTATGGGGGGCATTGGGGGTGCCCTGGGGGGGCTGGGGGTGTCCTGGGGAGCCTCAGGGTGCCCCATGGGGTTTTATAGGGGTTCCCTGGTTGCATTGGGTGCCATGGGGTTCCATAGGGGTTCAATAGGGGTTCATTGGGTTCCATAGGGGTTCCATGGGGGTGCCCTGGGGTCCCGGCCGGGCTCTGCGGGTGCCCCCTGACCCCCGCCCCCTGCCCCTGCCCCCGCAGAGGGCCCCGAGCCCGTTCGCCAGAGGGAGCTCGGGGACGGGGTCTTCGCCTGCGACTACGTCCCCACGGTGCCGGGGCCCCACACGGTGACCGTGCTGTGGGGGGGGCAGCCGGTGCCCCGCAGGTGAGTGCATGGGGGGGTGTGCATGTGTGTACAGGTGTGTGCATGTGTATACATGTGTGTGCATGTGTGTACAGGTGTGTGCATGTGTGTACAGGTGTGTGCATGTGTGTACAGGTGTGTGCATGTGTGTACAGGTGTGTGCATGGATGTACAGGTGTGTGTGTGCATGTGTGTACAGGTGTGTGCATGGATGTACAGGTGTGTGTGTGCATGTGTGTACAGGTGTGTGCATGTGTGTACAGGTGTGTGCATGTGTATACATGTGTGTGCATGTGTGTACAGGTGTGTGCATGTGTGTACAGGTGTGTGCGTGCGTGTATGTACAGGCGTGTGTGTGCGTGTGTGTATGGTGTGTGTATGTACACACATGCATGTGTTTTTATGTGCGTGCACGTGTGTGTATATGTATACCCATGTAGTCGTATGTATATGTGTATATGCGTGTGCTTGTCTGTGCATGTATGTGTCTGTATGTGTACATGCTTGTATGTACATGTATGTGCGTGTCTGTATGTATACATATGTACGTGTCTGCATGTGTATGTGTTTGCACCTATGTACATTTATGTACATGTTTGTACGCACATATCTGTACACATATCTCTATGTCTGTATATACACATATGTATGTATATGTACATGTCTGTACACATGTACACGTCTGTACGTATATGTATGTACACATATCTACATGTGTATGTACATATATGTATACATATGCCCATGTCTGTATGCACATATATGTACATGGACGTGCATGTATGTCCCTATATGTCCATGTATGCACACGTATGCACACGTATGTCCCTGTATGTCCATGTACGCACACGTATGTACACATATGTCCATGTATGTCCCTGTATGTCCCTGTATGCACACGCCTGTCCCTGTCCCCGTCCCCGCAGCCCCTTCGAGGTTCAGGTGTCCCCTGAGGGGGGCCCCCCCCGGGTGCGCGCCTGGGGCCCGGGGCTGGAGGGCGGCGCCGTGGGGAGCGCGGCCGAGTTCGTGGTGGAGGCCATCGGGGACGACGTCGGCACCCTCGGTGAGGGGGGAGGGGCACGGCCATGGGGGGGTGCGGGGGGGGGCAGGGATTTTGGGGCTCCCCAGGAGGGATTGGGGGGGGGTTGGGGCTGATTTGTTCTGATTTCAGGCTGATTTCAGGCTGGTTTGGGTGGATTTCGGACTGATTTGGGCTGAAATCAGGCTGATTTTAAGCAGATTTTGGGTTTTCAGGCTGATTTCACCTGTTTTGGGCTGGTTTCAGGCTATTTGGGGCTGATTTCAGCCAGGTTTGGGCTGATTTTTGGCTGTTTTCAGATTGAGTTGGGCTGATTTCAGGCTGGTTTTATGGCAGATTCAGGCTGATTTCAGTCCAATTTCAGGCTGATTCAGGCTGATTCAATGGCAGATTCAGGCTGATTTAGTCTGATTCAGGCTGATTTGGGCTGGTTCAGGCTGATTTGGGCTGATTCAGGCTCATTAGAGCTGATTTCAGGCTGATTTAGGCTGATTTTATGGCAGATTCAGGGTGATTTGAGCTGATTTAGCCCGATTTTAGCCCAATTTGGGCTGATTTTAGGCTGATTTGGGCCGATTTCAGGCAGATCCGGGCTGATTCAGGCAGATCCAGGCTGATTTCAGGCAGATCCGGGCTGATTTCAGGCAGATCCAGGCTGATTTCAGGCAGATCCGGGCTGATTTCAGGCAGATCCGGGCTGATTCAGGCAGATCCGGGCTGATTTCAGGCAGATCCGGGCTGATTTCAGGCTGATTTGGGCTGATTCCAGGCAGATCCGGGCTGATTTCAGGCAGATCCGGGCTGATTTCAGGCAGATCCGGGCTGATTTCAGGCAGATCCAGGCTGATTTCAGGCAGATCCGGGCTGATTTCAGGCAGATCCGGGCTGATTCAGGCAGATCCGGGCTGATTTCAGGCAGATCCGGGCTGATTTCAGGCTGATTTGGGCTGATTCCAGGCAGATCCGGGCTGATTTCAGGCAGATCCGGGCTGATTTCAGGCAGATCCGGGCTGATTTCAGGCAGATCCAGGCTGATTTCAGGCAGATCCGGGCTGATTTCAGGCAGATCCGGGCTGATTCAGGCAGATCCGGGCTGATTTCAGGCAGATCCGGGCTGATTTCAGGCAGATCCGGGCTGATTTCAGGCAGATCCGGGCTGATTTCAGGCAGATCCGGGCTGATTTCAGGCAGATCCGGGCTGATTTCAGGCAGATCCGGGCTGATTTCAGGCTGATTTGGGCTGATTCCAGGCAGATCCAGGCTGATTCCAGGCAGATCCAGGCTGATTTCAGGCAGATCCGGGCTGATTCAGGCAGATCCGGGCTGATTTCAGGCAGATCCAGGCTGATTTCAGGCAGATCCGGGCTGATTTCAGGCAGATCCGGGCTGATTCAGGCAGATCCGGGCTGATTCAGGCAGATCCGGGCTGATTTCAGGCAGATCCGGGCTGATTCAGGCAGATCCAGGCTGATTTCAGGCAGATCCGGGCTGATTTCAGGCAGATCCGGGCTGATTTCAGGCTGATCCGGGCTGATTTCAGGCAGATCCGGGCTGATTCAGGCAGATCCGGGCTGATTTCAGGCAGATCCAGGCTGATTTCAGGCAGATCCGGGCTGATTCAGGCAGATCCGGGCTGATTTCAGGCAGATCCCGGCTGATTTCAGGCAGATCCGGGCTGATTCAGGCAGATCCGGGCTGATTTCTCCCCTTCCCTCTGCCCCCCCTCACCGCAGGGTTCTCGGTGGAGGGCCCCTCGCAGGCCCGCATCGAGTGCGACGACCGCGGCGACGGCTCCTGTGACGTCCGCTATTGGCCGCAGGAGCCGGGCGCCTACGCCGTGCACGTGCTCTGCGACGGCCACGACATCGCCGGCAGCCCCTTCATGGCCGACGTCCGCCCCGCGCCCCGGGACTGCTGCCCCGACAAGGTGCCGGGAACACCGGGGACCATAGAGATCCATAGGGACCCATAGGAACCATAGGGACCCATAGAGATCCATAGAGACCATAGGAACCCATAGAGACCCGTAGGGATCCATAGAGAACCATAGGGACCATAGGGACCATAGAGACCCATAGGGATCCATAGGGACCATAGAGACCCATAGGGATCCATAGGGACCATAGAGACCCATAGGGATCCATAGAGACCATAGGGACCCATAGAGACCCATAGGGACCATAGAGACCCATGGGGACCATAGGGACCCATAGGGACCATAGGGACCATAGAGACCCATAGGGATCCATAGAGACCATAGGGACCCATAGAGACCCATAGGGACCATAAAGACCCATAGGGACCATAGGGACCCATAGGGACCATAGAGACCCATAGGGATCCATAGAGACCATAGAGAACATAGAGAACATAGAGATGATAAGAGACCCATAGAGACCATAGACACCCATAGACATCCATAGACACCCATAGAGACCCATAGACACCCATAGAGACACATAGGGCACCCCCCGATCCCCGCTGTGCCCCCCCGCAGGTCAAGGCCCATGGCCCGGGGCTGGAGAAGACCGGGGTGGCCGTGAACCAAGCGGCCGAGTTCACCGTGGATGCCAAGAACGGGGGCAAGGGGGCCCTCAAAGTGCAGATGCAGGTGGGGGGCACTGGGGGGTATTGGGGTGCTGGGGGGCTGTTGGGGTGCGGGGGGGGTATTGGGGTGCTGGGCGGTATTTGGTGCTGGGGGGTATTGGGGTGCAGGGGGGGTATTGGGGTGTTGGGGGGGTATTTGAGTGCGGGGGGGTATTTGGATGCTGGGGGGGGTATTTGGATGCTGGGGGGGTATTTGGGTGCTGGGGGGGGTATTTGGGTGCTGGGGGGGTATTGGGGTGCTGGGGGGTATTGGGGTGCTGGGGGGGTATTGGGGTGCTGGGGGCGGTATTTGGGTGCTGGGGGGGATGGGTGCTGGGGGGTATTTGGTGCTGGGGGGGTATTGGGGTGCTGGGGGGTATTGGGGTGCTGGGGGGTATTTGGGTGCTGGGGGGGGTATTGGGGTGCTGGGGGGTATTTGGTGCTGGGGGGGGTATTGGGGTGCTGGGGGGTATTGGGGTGCTGGGGGGTATTTGGTGCTGGGGGGGTTATTGGGTTGCTGGGGGGGGTATTGGGGTGCTGGGGGGGTATTGGGGTGCTGGGGGGGTATTGGGGTGCTGGGGGGGTATTGGGGTGCTGGGGGGGGTATTTGGGTGCTGGGGGGTATTTGGGTGCTGACCCCCCCCATACCCCCCTAGGACGCCGAGGGGACCCCCGTGGACGTCTCGGTCAAGGACAACGGCAACGGCACCTTCAGCTGCTCCTATGTGCCCAAGCGGGCGCTCAAGCACACGGCCATGGTGTCCTGGGGGGGGGTCAGCATCCCCCAGAGCCCCTTCCGGGTAAGGGGGTGCCCCAGGGGCTATGGGGGGGCTGGGGGGGGGGGTCGGGTCTGACCCCCCCATGTCCGTGTCCATAGGTGGGGGTCGGGGCCGGGAGCCACCCCCACAAGGTCAAGGTCTATGGGCCCGGCGTGGCCAAGACCGGGCTCAAGGCGCACGAGCCCACGCACTTCACTGTGGACTGCAGCGAGGCCGGGCAGGGTGAGCTATGGGGCGCTATGGGGCGCTATGGGGCACTGAGGGGGCTATGAGGCGCTATGGGGCACTGAGGGGGCTATGAGGCGCTATGGGGCACGGAGGGGGCTGTGGGGCTCCATAGGGTGCTAGGGGGCTTTATGGGGGTCTATAGGGCATGCTATGGGGTGCGCTATGGGGCTCTGTAGGCCACTATGGGGAGCTATTGGGAGTGCTGTGGGGCTCTGTGGGGAGCTGTGGGGCTCTATAGGGCACTATGGGGCTCTATAGGGTGCTATGGGTCTCTGTGGATGCTATGGGTCTCTATGGGTGTTATGGAGCTCTATGGGTCTCTATGGGTCTCTCTGGGTCTCTATGGGTCTCTCTGGGTCTCTCTGGGTCTCTATGTGTCTCTATGTGTCTCTATGGGTGCTATGTGTCTCTATGGTCTCTATGGGTCTCTATGGTCTCTATGGGTCTCTACGGGTCTCTACGGGTCTCTATGGGTCCCTATGGGTCTCTATGGTCTCTATGGGGTCTCTTTGGGTCTCTATGGTGTCTCTATGGTTTCTATGGGTCCCTATGGGTCCCTATGGATCTCTATGTGTCTCTATGGTCTCTATGGTCTCTATGGGTCTCTATGGTCTCTATGGTCTCTATGGGTCTCTATGGTCTCTATGGGTCTCTATGGTCTCTATGGGGTCTCTCTGGGTCTCTGTGTGTCTCTATGTGTCTCTATGGTTTCTATGGGTCCCTATGGGTCCCTATGGTCTCTATGGGGTCTCTCTGGGTCCCTATGGGTCCCTATGGGGCGCAGGGTCTCAGCGCTGCCCCCCGCAGGCGATGTGAGCATCGGCATCAAGTGCGCGCCGGGGGTCGAGGGCCCGGCCGAGGCCGACGTTGCCTTGGACATCAGCCGGGAGGCGGACGACACGTTCACGGTGCGCTACGAGCCCCGCGGCGCCGGCACCTACACCATCATGGTGCTCTTCGGGGAGCAGGTGAGCGCCTGCGGGGGGCAGGGGGGACTGGGCTCCAGAGATGGGATTGGGGGACAGGGGGGGGGATTGGGGTGCTAGGGGTGGGATTTGGGGTGTAAAGCACTGATATTGGGGTGCAGAGAGATGGGATTGGGGGGCGGGGGGGGGATTGGAGTCCAGAGATGGGATTGGGGTGCTAGGGGTGGGATTTGGGGTCTAAAGCACTGATATTGGGGTGCAGAGCGCTGATACTGGAGTCTAAAGCACTGATTTTGGGTTCAAAGCACTGATATTGGGGTGCTAGGGGTGGGATTGCGGGGTCCAGAGAGCTGGGATTGGGGTGCAAGGTGCTGATATGGGGATTCAGGGTGGGATTTGGGGTCCAGAGCACTGATTATGGGGTCTAAAGCACTGATTTGGGGTGAAAGACACTGTTTTGGGCTGTTTGGTGCTGGTTTGGTGCGTTTTGGTGCTTTTTGGTGCTGTTTGGTGCCATTTGGCGCTGTTTGGCGCTTTTTGGTGTTCTTTTGGCACTGTTTGGCGCTGTTTTGGTTCTGTTTGCCGCGGTTCGGTGCTGTTTGGTGCCGTTTGGCGCTGTTTGGCGCTTTTTGGTGTTGTTTTGGCACTGTTTGGCGCTGTTTTGGTTCTGTTTGGCGCGGTTCGGTGCTGTTCAGTGCTGTTTGGTGCTGTTTTGGCGCTGTTTGGTGCCGTTTGGCGCTGGTTTCGCTCCCAATTCCCTGCTCCCTTCCCCAGCCCATCCCCAGCAGCCCCATCCGGGTCAAGGTGGATCCCTCGCACGACGCCAGCAAAGTGAAGGCCGAGGGCCCGGGGCTGAGCCGCTCCGGTGAGCGCGGGGGGGGAGGGGAGGGGGGGGAGGGGTCCCGGGGGGTGGGGGTTGGGGGGAGGGGTCCCGGGGGGGTGGGGGTTGGGGGGGAGGGGTCCAGGGGGGGTGGGGTCCGGGGGGGGAGGGGTCCCGGGGGGTGGGGGTTGGGGGAGGGGTCCCGGGGGGTGGGGGTTGGGAACCCCCCTGACCCCCCCACCCCCCCAGGGCTGGAGCTGGGGAAGCCGACGCAGTTCACGGTGAACACCAAGGGGGGGGGGCGCGGGGCCCTCGAGGTGCAGGTGACCGGGACCGGCAACGGGGAGGCCGCCAAGGACCTGGAGGTCATCGACAACGGGGATGGGACCCACACGGTCAAATACACCCCAGTGCAGCAGGTACGGCCCCATAGGGACCTATAGGGACCCATAGGGACACATAGAGACCCATAGAGACCCATAGAGCCCAAATACACCCCAGTGCAGCAGGTACGGCCCCATAGAGACCCATAGAGACCCATAGAGACACATAGAGACACATAGGGACACATAGAGACACCATAGAGACCCATAGAGCCCAAATACACCCCAGTGCAGCAGGTACGGCCCCATAGGGACACATAGGGACCCATAGGGACCCATAGGGACACATAGAGACCCATAGAGACACATAGAGCCCAAATACACCCCAGTGCAGCAGGTGCGGCCCCATAGGGACACATAGAGACCCATAGGGACACATAGAGACCCATAGGGACACATAGAGACCCATAGAGACACATAGAGACCCATAGAGACCCCCAAACCCCATAGACTCCCCTGCACCCCCACCCCTCCTATTGCCATGGGGGTAACCCCCCCCCGATACCCCATGGGGGGGCCTTGGGGCTCCCCCTGAGCCTCCCCCTGTCCCCCCCAGGGTAACTTGGAGGTCGCAGTCACCTATGGGGGCGACCCCATCCCCAAGAGCCCCTTCACTGTGGGGGTGGCCCCAGGCCTGGACCTCAGCAAGATCAAGGTCTCCGGCCTGGATGAGAGTGAGTGGGGGGGGGGATGGGGGGAGGATGGGGGGGCGGTGGGGGGGGGGGACCCGTCTTTGGGGGGGGAGGGGTCTGTGGAGCTGGGGGTGGTGATGGGGGGAGGGGGAAATGGGGCCTTCATCCCCATAGGTGATGGGGGGGGGTTGGGGCAGGGTGCATCCCCCCCATTCGTGCTGCAGCCCCTGTGTTGGGGTTAATCCCCCCCATTTTGGGGTTAATCCCCCCTGTTTTCGGGTCCATCCCTGTCTGCGGGTACTGCTCTGTTTTGGGTTCAATTCCCCCCATTTCGGGTCTCATTCCCCCCCATTTCGGGTCTCATTCCCCCCCATTTCGGGGTCCATCCCCCCCATTTCGGGTCTCATTCCCCCCCATTTCGGGGTCCATCCCCCCCATTTCGTGTCTCCCCTCCCCCAGGACCGGAAGTGGGCCGGGAGCAGGAGGTGCTCGTGCAGTGGCGCGGGGCCGGCGGCGGCGGCCGCGTGGGGGCGCGCGTGAGCGGCCCCTCCCGCCAGGGGGCGCCCTGCGCCGTGGAGCCGGGCCCGGACGGCGCCAGCCTCGTGCGCTTCGTGCCGCGGGAAGAGGGCGCGCATGCGCTGGAGGTCACGTACGAGGGAAACCCCGTGCCCGGGAGCCCCTTCCCCATGGAGGCGGTGCCCGGGGGGGCGGAGCCCGGCAAGGTGGGGGAGGGGAATGGATGGGGGGGATGGGATGGGGATAGGGGATGGGGATGGGATGGGATGGGATGGGATGGGGAATGAATGGGGATGGGGATGGGATAGGGATGGGGATGGGATGGGGATGGGATGGGGAATGAATGGGGATGGGGAATGAATGGGGATGGGGATGGGGATGGGATGGGGATGGGATGGGGTGGGGATGGGGAATGAATGGGGATGGGGACACCCGAGATCCCCCCGTGGTGGGGAATGGGAGCGCCCGGCCCCGCACACCCCCTACAGGGGGAATGGGGACCCCCCTCAGCACCCCCTGCACCCCTGAACCTGCCCTGCATTGGGCAATGGGGACCCCAAAACACCAGCGGGGCTCTAAAGGGGGCTCCCTGTCCCCATGCCCCCCCCATCCATGACACATCCCCTGCTCCCCTCCCCCCCCATTCCAGGTGCGCGCCTTCGGGCCGGGGCTGCAGGGGGGGCTGCCGGGGGTCCCGGCGCCCTTCACCATCGACACCAAAGGCGCCGGCACCGGGGGCCTGGGGCTGACGGTGGAGGGGCCGTGCGAGGCCAAGATCGAGTGCGTGGACAACGGGGACGGGACCTGCTCCGTGTCCTACCTGCCCCTGGAGCCCGGCGACTACACCATCAACATCCTGTTCGCCGGCAGCCACGTGCCGGGGTCCCCCTTCCGCGCCCCCGTGCGCGCCCCCTTCGACGCCTCCAAGGTCACGTGCTCGGGCCCGGGGCTGGAGGGCGCCACGGCCGGGCAGGCCGGGCACTTCCGGGTCGACTGCAGCCGCGCCGGCAGCGCCGAGCTCAGCATCGGCATCGCCTCGGAGGCGGGCGCCCGCGCCGAGGTGCGCGTGGAGGACAACGGCGACGGCACCTACACCATCGCCTACACCCCGCTGAGCCCCGGCGTCTACAGCATCACCGTCGAGTACGGCGGGCAGCCCGTGCCGCACTTCCCCAGCAAGGTGCGCGTGGAGCCCGCCATGGACACCGCCGGCGTCAAGGTCTATGGGCCCGGAGTGGAGGGGGAAGGTGAGAGAGGGGCACGGGGGGGAGTCGGTGGGCACCGGCACAGAACACATTGGGTGACACCCACACAGCACCCATTGGGTGACACCAACACAGCACCCATTGATGGGCACCCACAGCCCCCATTGATGGGCACCAGCAGCTCCCATTGATGGGCACCAACACAGCCCCCATTGATGGGCACCAGCAGCTCCCATTGATGGGCACCAGCAGCCCCCATTGATGGGCACCAGCAGCTCCCATTGATGGGCACCAACACAGCCCCCATTGATGGGCACCAGCACAGCACCCATTGGTTAACACCCGCAGCCCCCATTGATGGGCACCAGCACAGCCCCCATTGATGGGCACCAGCACAGCACCCATTGGTTAACACCCGCAGCCCCCATTGATGGGCACCAGCAGCCCCCATTGATGGGCACCAGCAGCTCCCATTGATGGGCACCAACACAGCCCCCATTGATGGGCACCAACACAGCCCCCATTGATGGGTACCAGCACAGCACCCATTGGTTAACACCCGCAGCCCCCATTGATGGGCACCAGCACAGCCCCCATTGATGGGTACCAGCAGCCCCCATTGATGGGCACCAGCACAGCCCCCATTGATGGGCTCCAGCAGCCCCCATTGATGGGTACCAGCAGCCCCCATTGATGGGCTCCAGCAGCCCCCATTGATGGGCTCCAGCAGCCCCCATTGATGGGTACCAGCACAGCTCCCATTGATGGGCACCAGCAGCCCCCATTGATGGGCACCAGCAGCTCCCATTGATGGGCACCAACACAGCCCCCATTGATGGGCACCAACACAGCCCCCATTGATGGGTACCAGCACAGCACCCATTGGTTAACACCCGCAGCCCCCATTGATGGGCACCAGCACAGCCCCCATTGATGGGTACCAGCACAGCTCCCATTGATGGGCTCCAGCAGCCCCCATTGATGGGTACCAGCAGCCCCCATTGATGGGCTCCAGCAGCCCCCATTGATGGGTACCAGCACAGCTCCCATTGATGGGCTCCAGCAGCCCCCATTGATGGGTACCAGCAGCCCCCATTGATGGGCTCCAGCAGCCCCCATTGATGGGCTCCAGCAGCCCCCATTGATGGGTACCAGCACAGCTCCCATTGATGGGCACCAGCACAGCCCCCATTGATGGGCACCAGCAGCCCCCATTGATGGGTACCAGCACAGCACCCATTGGGTGACACCCACAGCCCCCATTGGTTAACACCCACAGCCCCCATTGATGGGCACCAGCAGCCCCCATTGATGGGCACCAGCACAGCCCCCATTGATGGGCACCAGCAGCCCCCATTGATGGGCACCAGCACAGCCCCCATTGATGGGTACCCACCCAGCCCCCATTGGGTGACACCCGCAGCCCCCATTGATGGCTCCCATCCCCTCCCCCCCCAGGGGTGTTCCGCGAGGCCGTCACCCAGTTCCACGTGGACGCGCGGGCGCTCTCCCAGGCGGGGGGGCCCCACGTGAAGGCGCAGGTGAGGAACCCCTCGGGCAACGTCACCGAGACCTTGGTGGAGGACCGGGGCGACGGCACCTACCGGGTGGAGTACACCCCCTACGAGGAGGGTGAGCGGGGGGGGCCCATTGTGTCCCTATGGCTGCGGGGTGACATCCCCATTGTGTCCCTATGGCTGCGGGGTGACATCCCCATTGCATCCATATGGCTGGGGGGGGACGGCCCCATTGTGTCCCTATGGCCGTGGCTGATGCCCCATTGTGTCCCTATGGCCATGGGGTGACATCCCCATTGTGTCCCTATGGCCATGGCTGATGCCCCCACTGTGTCCCTATGGCCATGGGGTGACATCCCCATTGTGTCCCTATGGCCATGGCTGATGCCCCCATTGTGTCCCTATGGCCATGGCTGATGCCCCCATTGTGTCCCTATGGCCGTGGCTGATGCCCCCATTGCATCCCTATGGCTGCGGGGGGACGGCCCCACTGTGTCCCTATGGCCGTGGCTGATGCCCCCATTGTGTCCCTATGGCCGTGGGGTGACATCCCCACTGTGTCCCTATGGCCGTGGCTGATGCCCCATTGTGTCCCTATGGCCATGGCTGATGCCCCCATTGTGTCCCTATGGCCATGGCTGATGCCCCCATTGTGTCCCTATGGCCATGGCTGATGCCCCCATTGTGTCCCTATGGCCATGGCTGATGCCCCCATTGTGTCCCTATGGCCATGGCTGATGCCCCCATTGTGTCCCTATGGCCATGGCTGATGCCCCATTGTGTCCCTATGGCCATGGCTGATGCCCCCATTGTGTCCCTATGGCCATGGCTGATGCCCCCACTGTGTCCCTATGGCCATGGGGATGTCCCCACTGTGTCCCTATGGCCGTGGCTGATGCCCCCATTGTGTCCCTATGGCCATGGGGTTACGTCCCCATTGTGTCCCTATGGCCGTGGCTGATGCCCCCACTGTGTCCCTATGGCCATGGCTGATGCCCCATTGTGTCCCTATGGCCATGGCTGATGCCCCCACTGTGTCCCTATGGCCATGGCTGATGCCCCATTGTGTCCCTATGGCCATGGCTGATGCCCCCATTGTGTCCCTATGGCCATGGCTGATGCCCCATTGTGTCCCTATGGCCATGGCTGATGCCCCATTGTGTCCCTATGGCCGTGGCTGATGCCCCATTGTGTCCCTATGGCCATGGCTGATGCCCCCATTGTGTCCCTATGGCCATGGCTGATGCCCCATTGTGTCCCTATGGCCATGGCTGATGCCCCATTGTGTCCCTATGGCCATGGCTGATGCCCCCATTGTGTCCCTATGGCCATGGGGATGTCCCCACTGTGTCCCTATGGGCGTGGCTGATGTCCCCATTGTGTCCCTATGGCCATGGCTGATGCCCCCATTGTGTCCCTATGGCCGTGGCTGATGCCCCCATTGTGTCCCTATGGCCATGGCTGATGCCCCATTGTGTCCCTATGGCCATGGCTGATGCCCCCATTGTGTCCCTATGGCCATGGGGATGTCCCCACTGTGTCCCTATGGGCGTGGCTGATGTCCCCATTGTGTCCCTATGGCCATGGCTGATGCCCCCATTGTGTCCCTATGGCCGTGGCTGATGCCCCCATTGTGTCCCTATGGCCATGGCTGATGCCCCATTGTGTCCCTATGGCCGTGGCTGATGCCCCCATTGTGTCCCTATGGCCGTGGCTGATGCCCCCATTGTGTCCCTATGGCCATGGCTGATGCCCCCATTGTGTCCCTATGGCCATGGCTGATGCCCCCACTGTGTCCCTATGGGCGTGGCTGATGGGCTCTGCTGCCCCAGGCCTGCACACCGTGGACGTGAGCTACGCCGGGAGCCCGGTGCCCCACAGCCCCTTCCGCGTCCCCGTCACCGAGGGCTGCGACCCCGCGCGCGTGCGCGTCCATGGCCCGGGCCTGCAGAGCGGCACCACCAACCAGCCCAACCGCTTCACCGTGGAGACCCGGTGAGGCCCCGCTCACCCACGGCTGAACCATGGGGGCTCCACAGCACCCATAGCCTGACTGTGGGTGCCCCATAGCATCCATAGCCTGACTGTGGGGACTCCATAGCATCCATAGCCTGACCATGGGGGCTCCATAGCACCCTCAGCTGAGACATGGGGGCTCCACTGCACCCACGCCTCAGACATGGGGGCTCCACTGCACCCTCAGCTGAACTGTGGGGGCTCCATAGCATCCATAGCCTGACCATGGGGGCTCCATAGCACCCTCAGCTGAGACATGGGGGCTCCACTGCACCCACGGCTCAGACATGGGGGCTCCACTGCACCCTCAGCTGAACCGTGGGGGCTCCATAGCATCCATAGCCTGACCGTGGGGGCTCCATAGCACCCACAGCTGAGACATGGGGGCTCCACAGCGCCCATAGCCTGACTGTGGGTGCCCCATAACATCCATAGCCTGACCGTGGGGGCTCCATAGCACCCACAGCTGAGACATGGGAGCTCCATAGCACCCACAGCTGAGCATGGGCACCCCACAGCCCCCCCATCCTGCCCTGTGTTCCCCACATCCTCCCTGTACCCCAATGTCCTCCTGCCCCCAGTCCCCCCCATCCCCCCATCCTACCCCATCCCCCCCAACCCCCCCCCCCGGTGCTATTTGGGGGTTCCCCTGACCCCCATCCCCCCTTAGGGGCGCAGGCACGGGGGGGCTGGGCCTGGCCGTGGAGGGCCCCTCGGAGGCGCGGATCTCGTGCACGGACAACAAGGACGGGAGCTGCTGGGTGCAGTACATCCCCTCGGAGCCGGGCACCTACAGCCTCAACGTCACCTACGGCGGGCACCCGGTGCCGGGTGAGCGGGGGCAGCGGGGCGGGGTCCCCTTCACTGCGCCCCGTAGCTCACGGTACCCCCCCCCTTCCATAGGGAGCCCATTCAAGGTGCCGGGTGAGCGGGGGCAGCAGGGGTGGGGTCCCCTTCACTGCGCCCCATAGCTCACGGTACCCCCCCTTCCATAGGGAGCCCATTCAAGGTGCCGGGTGAGCAGGGGGCAGCGGGGTCGGGGTCCCCTTCACTGCGCCCCGTAGCTCACGGTACCCCCCCTTCCATAGGGAGCCCATTCAAGGTGCCGGTGACAGATGTGGTGGCAGCAGGGGCGGGGTCCCCTTCACTGCGCCCCATAACTCACCTTACCCCCATGTCCGCCATAGGGAGCCCGTTCAAGGTGCCGGTGACGGACGTGGTGGACGCCACCAAGGTGAAATGTGTGGGGCCGGGGCTGACGCCGGGCGCCGTCAGGGCCAACGTCCCCCAGAGCTTCACCGTGGACAGCAGCAAGGCCGGGGTGGCCCCATTGGAGGTGAAGGTGCAGGGACCCAAAGGTAAAGCACACAAGGGAATGGGGTTCAGAGGGGATGGGGTAAGGGGTGCAAAGGGATGGGGTAAGGGGTGCAAAGGGATGGGGTAAGGGGTTCAGAGGGGATGGGGTAAGGGGTGTCCTGGGGGGTAAGGGGTGCAAAGGGATGGGGGTACAGGGTGTCCTGGGGGGTACGGGGTGTCCGGGGGGGGTAAGGGGTGCATCCCATGCGTGGCACTGGGGGCCCTGCAGGGGTCCATGGGTGACCCCAGTGCCCCCCCCAGGTGTGGTGGAGCCGGTGGAGGTGGTGGACAATGGGGACGGGACCCAGCGTGTGAGCTACGTCCCGAGCCGCGAGGGGCCCTACAGCATCTCGGTGCGCTACGGCGAGGAGGAGGTGCCCCGCAGGTACCGGCGTGGGGGCACGGGCATGGGCATGGGGGGTACAGGGGGGACCGGGTTGGGGGGGCTCTGCTCTGAGCCCCCCATGGTGCTCCCAGCCCGTTCAAGGTGAAGGGGGGGTACAGAGAGGGGTACAGGGGGGGCTCTGCTCTGACCCCCCCGTTGTCCCCCAGCCCGTTCAAGGTGAAGGGGGGGTACGGGGGGGGTACAGGGGGGGTACAGGGGGGGCTCTGCTCTGACCCCCCCGTTGTCCCCCAGCCCGTTCAAGGTGAAGGGGGGGTACAGGGGGGGTACAGGGGGGGGTACAGGGGGGGTACAGGGGGACTCTGCTCTGACCCCCCCGTTGTCCCCCAGCCCGTTCAAGGTGAAGGCGCTGCCCACCCATGACGCCAGCAAGGTGAGGGCGAGCGGCCCCGGCCTCAACACCACCGGCGTCCCCGCCAGCCTCCCGGTGGAGTTCACCATCGACGCCAAGGACGCGGGCGAGGGGCTCCTGGCCGTGCAGATCACGGTGAGGAGCGGGGGGCCTGGGGCTCTAAGGGGGTCGCTGGGTGCTGGGGGGGGCGCACCGTGGGTGATGCTCAGGGTGCTATGGGTGATGGGCGCAGTGCCATGGGTGATGCCATGGGTGATGAACATGGTGCCATGGGTGATGCTCGTGGTGCTGTGGGTGATGGACACAGTGCCATCAGTGATGTGCCCAGTGCCATGGGTGATGTACATGGTACCATGGATGATAGGTGCCATGGATGGTGCGCAGAGTGCTGCACATGATACCATATGTGATGCACATGGTGCCATAGGTGATGCCATGGGTGATGCACACGGTACTATGGGTGATGCCGTGGGTGATGCTCATGGTGCCGTGGGTGATGTGCATGATACCATGGGTGATGCCATGGGTGATGCTCACAGTGCCATGGGTGCTGCACCCTGTTTGGGTACCACAGGCACCCCATAGGATGCTCAGTGCCGAGGCCTGGCCCTGGCTCCGCTCCATCTCCCTCCCAGCCCATTCCCATTCATTCCCATTCATTCCCATTCCCATTCATTCCCATTCCCATCCCCATCCCCATTCCCATTCATCCCCATTCATTCCCATTCATCCCCATTGCCATTGCCGCTGTGCCGCAGGACCCCGAGGGGAAGCCCAAGAAGGCGTCGATCCGGGACAACCAGGACGGCACGTACACGGTGTCCTACGTGCCGGACACGACCGGGCGCTACACCATCCTCATCAAGTACGGCGGCGACGAGATCCCCTACTCGCCGTACCGCATCCGCGCCGTGCCCGCCGGCGACGCCAGCAAGTGCACGGTCACCGGTAGGCGCGCCCGCGCTCGGCACCATGGGGGGGTTCGGGGGGGCCTCACGTGTGCGTCACTGATTTCTTGCTTCTCTGCCCCCCCCACGCCCCCCCACACCCCCCCCCCCCACTGCTGTAGTCTCCATCGGAGGGCACGGCTTAGGTAAGCTCATTGCATGGCTCGCTTGGCGTCGGGGTGCATGCGTGACCCCCACAGAGTGCCCTTGGGGGCACCCCCTGTTTCTCCCCATAGAGGGATGAGGGTGTCCCCCCCACCCCCTGCAGCCAATCAGGGCTCGACTTTTGGGGGGTCCAAGCTTTGTTTGAGTGGGGGGAGTTCTCCCCCCCACTGTTGTAATAGGGGGGTGTCCCCCCCTCATTCACTTGGGGGGTCCCCCTTGGTGCTGTTGGGGCCATTGAGCTGGGGGTGCCTCAATAAAACCCTATTACCCCCCCTCCCCATGGCATGAGTGGAGCATCTCCATGCTCAGCCTATGGGGGGGGGGGGCTCAGTTTGGGGGTGTCCTGGGGGGGTACAAGCAATGGGTCAATGATCTGGGGGTGCCTCAATAACCCCCATTACCCCCTCCCCATGGCACGAGTGGAGCATCCCCATGCTCAGCCCATGGGGGGGCTCAGTTTGGAGGGGTACAGGCAATGGGTCAATGAGCTGGGGGTGCCTCAGTAACCCCCATTACCCCCTCCCCGTGGCACGAGTGGAGCATCCCTATGGAGGGGCTCAGTTTGGGGGTGCTGGAGCCCCCAGTGGGGTGCCCCCCCCATCCATGGGTCCCTCAATCCCCGCATCCCGCAGGGCCCGGGCTGGGCCCCACGCTGCAGCTGGGGGAGCAGACGGTGATCACGGTGGACGCCAAGGCGGCGGGCAAGGGGAAGGTCACGTGCACCGTGAGCACCCCCGACGGCACCGAGGCCGACGTGGACGTGGTGGAGAACGCGGACGGAACCTTCGACATCTTCTACACGGCGGCGGAGCCGGGGAAGTACCTGATGTGTGTGAGGTTCGGGGGGGAGCACGTCCCCAACAGCCCCTTCCAGGTCATGGTGAGTGCAGGGGGGGGGGGGGATGGGATGGGGAGGGGATGGGGAGGGGATGGGGATGGAATGGGGTAGGGATGGGGGTGGGGTGGGATGGGGTGGGATGGGGATGGGATGGGGATGGGATGGGATGGGATGGGGAGGGGATGGGGATGGGATGGGGAGGGGATGGGGATGGGATGGGGATGGGGATGGGATAGAGATGGAGCAGAGATGGGAAAGGCATGGACAGGGACGGGGAGGGGTGAGCAGGGATGGGCAGAGGACAAGAAAGGAACAAGAAGGGACAGGAGACAGGCAGGGATGGGCAGGGAATGTGCAGGGAATGGGGTAGGGATGGGCAGGGGATGGGGATGGGGAGGGAATGGGCAGGGAATGGACAGGGATGGGGTAGGGATGGGCAGGGGATGAGCAGGGGACAGGAAACAGGGAAGGGACAGGCAGGGAATGGGCAGGGATAGGGTAGGGATGGGGAGGGGACAAGAAGGGACAGGAGACAGGAAGGGGACGGGAAGGGACCTCAATGGGATCAGGTAGGGGCTGGGCAGGGTGGGGGGCACAGGGCCCAGGGTGGGGGGGTCCCAGCACCCAACGCGGTTCCCCCCCGGTGCAGGCGACGGAGCGGGCGCTGCTGGGGGTGAATGGGCTGGACATGGCCGGGCTGCGGCCCTTCGACCTCGTCATCCCCTTCACCATCAAGAAGGGCGAGATCACAGGTGAGGGGGGGCACCCCAAAACCATGCGGGTCTATGGGGGTGCCCCCCCCCATTGTACAGGGTCCTCAGCACCCACCCAGCATCCCCCCATCCCTTCCCCACGGCCTCCCCAAGCTATGGGGCCCCCTCCCCCTGACGCCCCCCGTTGCCCCCCCAGGGGAGGTGCGGATGCCCTCGGGCAAGGTGGCCAAGCCGGACATCACCGACAACAAGGACGGGACGGTGACGGTGCGGTTCGCGCCCACCGAGGCCGGGCTGCATGAGATGGACATCCGCTATGAGAGCATGCACATCCCAGGTGGGGGCGGGGGGGTCATGGGGGGTCCTGGGGGGCTCTGGGGGGGTGCTGGGGGGCTTTGAGGGCTCCCCCCTGAAGCATCCCAGCACCGCAGCTCCCCGCATCCCACCCCGTATCCATGGCAACCCCCAGCATCCTCCATGTCTCTATGGGGGGGGGTGTCTCCGTGCCCCCCCAACACCCCCTTTGTGTCCCCCCCGCAGGCAGCCCCCTTCAGTTCTATGTGGACTACGTGAACAGCGGCCACGTCACCGCCTACGGCCCCGGCCTCATCCACGGCACCGTGAACAAACCGGCCTCCTTCACCGTCAACACCAAGGACGCCGGCGAGGGTGAGCCCGGGGGTACCCCCCCCACATCCAGAGCCCCCCCCTCACTGTGCCCCCCCCACATCCAGAGCCCCCCCTCACTGTGCCCCCCCCACATCCAGAGCCCCCCCCTCACTGTGCCCCCCCCCACATCCGAACCCCCCCCTCACTGTGCCCCCCCCCCATCCGAATCCCCCCCTCACTGTGCCCCTGTTCCCCCCATCCAGACCCCCCCCCACATCCAGACCCCCCCTCACTGTGCCCCCCCATTCAGACCCCCCCACTGTGCCCCCCCTCACTGTCCCCCCCCTCGACCCCCCCCCTGTCCAGACCCCCCCCCATCCCAACCCCCCCTCACTGTGCCCCCCCCCCACATCCAGACCCCCCCCATCCAGACCCTCCCTCTCTGTGCCCCCCCCTCACTGCCCCCCTGTGCCCCCAGGGGGGCTGTCTCTGGCCGTGGAGGGCCCCTCCAAGGCGGAGCTGAGCTGCACGGACAACCAGGACGGGACCTGCAGCGTCTCCTACCTGCCCGTGCTGCCCGGGGACTACAGCATCGGGGTCAAGTACAACGAGAAGCACATCCCCGGGAGCCCCTTCACCGCCCGCATCACCGGTACCCCCCGGGGGGGGGGGGGCAGTGGGGGGCACTGGGGGCAGTGGGAGGCAGTGGGGGCAATAGGAGGCAATGGGATGCAGTGGCGTGCACTGGTGGCAATGGGATGCACTGGGATGCAATGGGAGGCAACGGGATACAATGGGATGTGGATGCAGTGGGATGCAATGGGGTCCAATGGGATTCAGTGGAGTGCACTGGTGGCAATAGGATGCAGTAGGATGCAATGGGAGGCAATGGGATGCAATGGGAGGCAATGGGATGCAATGGGAGGTGATGGGATGCGGATGCAGTGGGATGCAATGGGGTGCAGTGGGATGCAATGGGTTGCACTGGTGGCAATGGGATGCAGTGGGAGGCAGTGGGATGCAGTGGGGAGCAATGGAATGTAGTGGGATGCAATGGGAGGCAGTGGGGTGCATTGGGGGGCAGTGTGATGCAATGGGTTGCTTTGGAGGGCAATGGGGTGCAATGGGTTGCAATGGGAGGCAGTGGGACACAATGGGAGTCAATGGGTTGCAATGGGAGGCAGTGGGACACAATGGGAGTCAATGGGTTGCAATGGGAGGCAGTGGGACACAATGGGAATCAATGGGGCGCAATGGGAGGCAATGGGGTGCAATGGGAGTCAATGGGGTGCAATGGGAGTCAGTGGGATGCAGTGGGAGTCAATGGGGGCGCAGCGGTTGCCATGGTGACCACGGCACTCACCCCCCCCACAGGTGACGCCAGCCTGCGCCAGTCGCACCTCAAGGTGGGGGCCTCGGCCGACATCCCCCTGGAGCTGGGCGAGAGCGACCTGAGCCAGCTGACGGCCGCCGTCACCGCGCCCTCGGGCCGCAAGGAGCCCTGCCAGCTCAAGCGCCTGCGCAACGGGCACATCGGTGCGGGGGCGGCCCCGACCCTCATCCCCAGAGCCCCATAGCCCATATCCTGTATCCCTGTATCCCTGTGCCCCCTCATCCCCAGAGCCCCATAACCTGCATCCTGTATCCTGTGTCCCTCTGGACCCTCATCCCCAGAGCCCAGAGCCCCATATCCTGTATCCCTGTATCCCTGTGCCCCCTCATCCCCAGAGCCTGTATCCCTGTGTTCCTGTGTCCCCATATCCTATATACCTGTGGGCCTTATCTCCATAGCCTGTATCCCTCTGGACCCTCATCCCCAGAGCCCCATAACCTGCATCCTGTATCCCTCTGGACCCATATCCTATATCCCTGTGTCCCTGTGTCCCCATATCCTATATCCCTGTGGGCCTTATCTCCATAGCCTGTATCCCTCTGGACCCTCATCCCCAGAGCCCCATGGCCCATAGCCTATATCCCTGTGACCCCTTATCCCCATATCCTGTATCCCTGTGTCCCTGTGTCCCCATATCCTATATCCCTGTGTCCCCTGATCCCCATATCCCTATAGCCCATATCCCTGCGTCCCTGTGTCCCCTCATCCCCATATCCTGTACCCCTGTATCCCCTTATCCCCATACCCCATAGCCCATATCCCTGTGTCCCCTTATCCCCATACCCCATATCCTTATATCTCCATATCCCCATATTGCCATATCCCTGTATGCCCTTATCCCCATATCCCTGTGTCTCTGTATCCCATATCCCTGTATCCCCATATTGCTGTATCCCTGTATCCCCTTATCCCTGTATCCCAATGTCCCTATACCCCATATCCCTGTATCCCCGTATCTCTGTATCCCCCATACCCCATATCCCTGTATGCCTATATCCCATATCCCTGTATCTCTGTATCCCCATACCCCATATCCCTGTATGCCTATATCCCATATCCCTGTATCTCTGTATCCCCATACCCCATATCCCTGTATGCCTATATCCCATATCCCTGTATCTCTGTATCCCCATACCCCATATCCCTGTATGCCTATATCCCATATCCCTGTATCTCTGTATCCCCATACCCCATATCCCTGTATGCCTATATCCCATATCCCTGTATCTCTGTATCCCCATACCCCATATCCCTGTATGCCTATATCCCATATCCCCGTATCTCTGTATCCCCATACCCCATATCCCTGTATGCCTATATCCCATATCCCTGTATCCCCATATCCCTGTACCCCCCTGTACCCCCATCCCCCCATCCCCCCCGATGCGGCCCTGACTCCGCCCCGTTCCCGCAGGGATCTCCTTCGTGCCGCAGGAGGTGGGGGAGCACCTGGTGCACGTCCTGCGGGGGGGGCAGCCCCTGCCGCGGAGCCCCCTCTCGGTCACCATCAGCCAGGCGGAGCTGGGCGATGCCGCCCGCGTGCGCGTCACCGGGCCCGGCCTGCGCGAGGGCCGCACCTTCCAGCCGGCGCACTTCACCATCGACACCCGCGACGCCGGTACCCGCACCCCCCGGCACCCCCAGAGCATCCCCAGGGCATCCCCATAGCGCCCATGGCACCCACAGAGCATCCCCAGGGCATCCCCATAGCGCCCATGGCACCCACAGGGCACCCCCATAGCACCCATAGCATCTCCAGAGCACCCAGAGCATCCCCTGAACCCCATAGCACCCATATCATCCCCATAGCAACCCAGAGTATCCCCAAAGCACCCATAGCACCCAGAGCATCCCCAGAGCACCCATATCCCCATAGCACCCATAGCATCCGCTGACCCCCCATAGCACCCATAGCATCCCCATAGCACCCATATCATCCCCTGACCCCCCATAGCAGCCATAGCATCCCCATAGCAACCCAGAGTATCCCCAAAGCACCCGTAGCACCCATAGCATCCCCAGAGCATCCCCAGAGCACCCATAGCATCCCCTGACCCCCCATAGCACCCATAGCATCCCCTGACCCCCCATAGCACCCATAGCCCCCATAGCACCCCCATAGCACCCATAGCATCCCCTGACCCCCAGCACCCATAGCCCCCATAGCACCCCCATAGCATCCCCTTTGCACCCATGCACTCCACCGACCCCCACAATGCGAGTACCATCCCTGACCCCCCATAGCCCCCCCCACCCTCCCCCTCCCCCCCATACCCCAGCCCCCCTCCCTCTGCCCCCTCCCCCGGGGCTCTGGGTCCCCAGTGACCCCCGCCCCATGGCAGGCTATGGGGGGCTGAGCCTGTCCATCGAGGGCCCCAGCAAGGTGGACATCGGCACGGAGGAGCTGGAGGACGGCACCTGCCGGGTCTCGTACTGCCCCACGGAGCCGGGCAACTACATCCTGGCCCTCAAGTTCGGGGAGCAGCACGTGCCCGGTGCGCCCGCCCGGGGGACAGGGGGGGACATGGGGGGATATGGGGGGCTATGGGGTCTATGGGGGTCTATGGGGGGGTCTATGGGGGGTATGGGGTCTATGGGGGTCTATGGGGGTCTATGGGGGTCTATGGGGTCTATGGGGGGTCTATGGGGGTCTATGGGGTCTATGGGGGTCTATGGGGGGTCTATGGGGGTCTATGGGGTCTATGGGGGGTCTATGGGGGTCTATGGGGTCTATGGGGGTCTATGGGGGGTCTGTGGGGTCTATGGGGGGTCTGGGGGGTCTAAGGGGGGTCTATGTGAGATCTATGGGGTTTCAATGGGGTTTCAATGGGGTTTCAATGGGGTTTCAATGGGGTTTCAATGGGGTCGATGGGGTTTCAATGGGGTCAGTGGGGTTTCAATGGGGTCTCAATGGGGTCTCACTGGGGTCGATGGGCCTGCAGGGAGCCCGTTCTCGGTGAAGGTGACGGGCGAGGGCCGGCTGAAGGAGAGCATCACCCGCCGGCGCCGCGCCCCCCCCGAGGCCTGCGTGGGCTCCGCCTGCGACCTCAGCCTCAAGGTGCCCGGTGAGTGGGGGGGGCAAGGGCACGGGGGGGGCAATGACCCTGGGGGTCCCCATTGACCATGGGGGGGCAGTGACCCTGGGCATCCCCATTGACCCATAGTGATCCCCACTGACCCCTGGGGGTGACCCCACCGCCCCCCCCGCTCTCCCCCCCATGGCCGCAATGGGGCAGCTCCATCTCCCCTGCCCCCCCCATGGTCGCAATGGGGTTTCTCCATCTCCCCTGACCCCCCCATGGTTGCAATGGGGCAGCTCCATCTCCCCTGACCCCCCCCATGGTCGCAATGGGGGGCTCCATCTCCCCTGACCCCCCCATGGTCGCAATGGGGGGCTCCATCTCCCCTGACCCCCCCATGGTCGCAATGGGGGGCTCCATCTCCCCTGACCCCCCCATGTTCGCAATGGGGTTTCTCCATCTCCCCTGACCCCCCATGCCCGCAATGGGAGGCTCCATCTCCCCTGACCCCCCATGCCCGCAGAGCTGAGCGAGCACGAGGTGACGGCGCTGGTCACGGGCCCCTCGGGCCAGGCGGTGCCGGCGCAGGCGCTGGAGGGCGAGGGCGGCGCCTACAGCATCCGGTTCGTGCCGGCCGAGACCGGGGTGCACTCGGTGAGCGTCAAGGACCGGGGCCAGCACGTGCCGGGGAGCCCCTTCCAGTTCACCGTGGGGCCCATGGGAGAGGGCGGCGCACACAAGGTCCGAGCGGGGGGACCCGGCCTGGAGCGCGCCGAGGCGGGGGTGCCAGGTGAGAGGGGGCCCAAAGTGACACAGAGAGCACTGAACCCCATAGAGAGACACCTGAACCCCATAGGGAGACACTTAAACCTGATAGAGATACACCTGAACCCCACAGGGAGACACCGGAACCCCATAGAGAGACACCTGAACCCCATAGAGATACACCTGAACCCCATAGACACCTGAACCCCATAGAGAGACAGCCCTGAACCCCATAGAGAGACACCTGAACCCCATAGACACCTGAACCCCATAGAGATACACCTGAACCCCATAGAGAGACACCGGAACCCCATAGAGAGACACCGGAACCCCATAGAGAGACACCTGAACCTGATAGAGATACACTTAAACCCCATAGAGATACACCTGAACCTGATAGAGGTACACCTGAACCTCACATACGCCCAAACTGATAGCCACACACCTAAACCAATGCACCCAAACCTGATACAGGTCCCCCTAACCCTGATCCACCCCTAAACGTGTCCCGCACCCCTAAACCTGACCCAGAGCCCCCACATCCTCTTGAGCCTCTCCCCCTGCACCCCCCCATCCCCTCCTGCCCTGCCCCCCGTGTCCCACACCCGGGTTACATCGGGGGGGTCTCGGCCCTTTGGGGCTCCCTGACCCCCTCCTCCTGCCCCCCCCAGCCGAGTTCAGCATCTGGACGCGGGAGGCGGGCGCCGGGGGCCTCTCCATCGCCGTCGAGGGCCCCAGCAAGGCCGAGATCGCCTTCGAGGACCGCAAGGACGGCTCCTGCGGGGTCTCCTACGTGGTGCAGGAGCCGGGTACGGCCGCGGGGGGGCGCTGCCGAGAGAGGCCGCAATGGGGGGGCACGGGGGGCGTGGTGCAGGAGCCGGGTACGGCCGCGGGGGGGCGCTGCTGAGAGAGGCCGCAATGGGGGCGTGGTGCAGGAGCCGCGTGCGGACACCGGGGGTCGCTGCTGAGGCGGCATAAAACGGGCTCAATGGGGGGCTCTGTATAGGGGAGCTATGGGGTCCATGGGGGGCTCTGTATAGGGGAGCTATGGGGTCCATGGGGGGCTCTGTGTAGGGGAGCTATGGGGTCCATGGGGGGCTCTGTGTAGGGGAGCTATGGGGTCCATGGGGGGCTCTGTATAGGGGAGCTGTGGGGTCCATGGGAGGGGGCACTGCGGGCCGGTGCCCACCCCGGTGCCAGCGGCCCCGCCCCCTGCCCGCAGGTGACTACGAGGTGTCGGTGAAGTTCAACGAGGAGCACGTCCCCGAGAGCCCCTTCGTGGTGGCGGCGGCGGCGCCCTGCGATGCTGCGCGGCTCCTCACTGTTTGTAGCCTTCAGGTGCGGCACCGGGAGAAACCCCCCCCCACCGGCACCGGCACCGGGGGGCGGCAGGGCCAGCGCGGGGGGGACAGATGGGGGGGTCCAAGGGGGATATGGAGCTGTATAGGGCAGCTTAGAGAGGTCCAAGGGGGATATGGAGCCAGACAGGGGGCTTAGGGGAATCCAAGGGGGATATGGAGCCAGATAGAGGGCTTTAGGGGGGTCTAAGGGGGACAATGGAGCTGTATAGGGCAGTTTAGAGAGGTCCAAGGGGGATATGGAGCCAGACAGGGGGGCTTAGGGGGATCCAAGGGGGATATGGAGCTGTATAGGGCAGCTTAGAGGGGTCCAAGGGGGATATGGAGCCAGATAGGGGGGTTAGGGGGGTCTAAGGGGGACAATGGAGCCTTTTAGGGGGCTCCAAGGGGGACATGGAGCTGTATAGGGCAGTTTAGAGAGTTCCAAGGGGGATATGGAGCCAGATAGGCAGGGTTAGGGGTGTCTAAGGGGGATATGGAACCAGATAGGGGGGGTTTAGGGGGTCTAAGAGGAACAACACAGCCAACCAGGGAGGTTTAAGGGGATGTGACCCTATAGGGGGATTTAGGATGGGTCTCAGGGGGAAATGGAGCCACATTAGGGGGTTCAGGGGGCTCAAGGGGGTCTTAGGGGGATACTGGAGCTGTATTGGGGGGTCTCCGGGGGTATGGGGGGGGAGTGGAGCCGTAGAGAGGGGTTTAGAGGGGGTCTCAGGGGGAAATGGAGCCACAGAGAGGGGTTCAGGGGGGCAGTGGAGGCACGGAGCGGGGTCAGGAGGGGTTTGGGGTGTCTGGGGGGGGGGGGCAAGGCAGCTCCAGCAGGGAGTGCAGTGGGGGGGGGCTCTGGGGAGCCCTTAGGGTCAGTGGAGCCCCATGGGGGGGTCTGGGGCAGGGCAGAGCCTCAGTCAGGTCCAGGGAGGCTGGGGCTGGTTTTGGGGTCCCCGCGCTGGCCAGGCTGCCCCCCCCCCCCAAACCAGGGGGGTCCCCGGGGGTTTCTCTCGTGTCTCTTTTAAAGGCTATTAACAGCCCCCCCCCCTTTGGGGGTCACCTCGGGGCTGGGGGAGTCTTAGCGGGAGCGAGCGGCCCCCCCAAAACCCCCCCTGTACCCCCAAAGTGGGGCCGGGGTCCCCCACTCGCTCCCGCTGAACCCCCCAGCCCCATAAGGTAAGTGGGGTACGGAGGGGGTCCTGACACCCCCAAACCTGGGTGCACCCCAAAACCCCCTCGTTATTTGGGGTGAGGGTTTGGGGGTGTCACCTCCCTGGGTGGGAGCAGTTTGCACCCCAATTTTGGGGTGCAGCCCCCCCCATCCTACCGGGGGGGGGTTAAACCCCTTTAAGCTGGGGTTTGATGCTGGAGGGGGGGGCAATGCTGGTTTCTATCCCCCCTCTCCCCACACTTGGGGGTGCCCCCCCCGGTTTGGGGGTGCCCCCCCCCGCTGACGGTCTCTGCCCCCCCAGGAATCGGGGCTCAAGGTTCACCAACCCGCCTCCTTCGCCGTGAGCCTCAATGGGGCCAAGGGGGTGCTGGACGCCAAGGTGCACAGCCCCTCGGGGGCGCTGGAGGAGTGCCACATCACCGAGGTCACCGAAGGTGAGGGGGGCCCCCCCGAACCCCCCCGAACCCCGCAAGGGGGGTTTTGGGGTCCCCCCCCCACTTTAGGGGCTCCGTCAAGCTGTGCTGGCTTGGTTTGGGGGTCCCCGGGGGGTGTTAGGTTCATTGATGCCTGTGGGTGTTCATTGATGTCTATGGGGTTCGTTGGTGTCTGTGGGGTCCCCTGACCCCGTTGCCCCCAGGCAAGCACGGGGTGCAGTTCATCACACTGGTCCATTGATGTCTATGGGGTCCATTGGTGTCTGTGCGGTCCATTGATATTAATGGGGTCCATTGATGTCCGTGGGCTCCATTGATGTCCGTGGGCTCCATTGATGTCCGTGGGGTCTCATTGATACCTATGGGCTCTCATTGATATCTATGGGGTCTCATTGGTGCCCATGCCCCTCCCCCAGACAAGTACGCCGTGCGCTTCATCCCCCGGGAGAACGGGCTCTACTCCATTGATGTCCATGGGCTCTCATTGATATCTATGGGGTCTCATTGACATCCATGGGGTCTCATTGGTGCCCATGCCCCTCCCCCAGACAAGTACGCCGTGCGCTTCATCCCCCGGGAGAACGGGCTCTACTCCATTGATGTCCATGGGCTCTCATTGATATCTATGGGGTCTCATTGATATCTATGGGGTCTCACTGTCTCCCGTGCCCCTCCCCCAGACAAGTACGCCGTGCGCTTCATCCCCCGGGAGAACGGGCTCTACTCCATTGATGTCAAGTTCCAGGGCTCGCACATCCCCGGGAGCCCCTTCAAGGTGCGCGTGGGGGAGCCGGGCCAGGCCGGGGACCCGGGGCTCGTGTCCGCCTACGGCCCGGGGCTGGAGGGCGGCACCACAGGTAGGGGGCGCGGGGGGGCAGCTGGGGTCTATGGGGCTCTGTGGGGGTTCTATGGGGGCTCTATGGGTATCTATGGGGGCTCTATGGGGGCTCTATGGGGGCTCTGTGGGGCTCTATGGGGGCTCTATGGGGCTCTGTGGGGCTCTATGGGGATGTGTGGGGCTCTATGGGGGCTCCCTGTGGGGTTCAGGGGCCTGCGGGAGGTCAGAGTGGACCTCGTGCAGCAGGGGGGTCTCTATGGGGTTGTAGAGCCCCTTGTGGGGCTGGGACCTCCCCAGGGTTTCGGGTGCTCCTGTGTGGTTTTGGGGTGCCTCGGCGTGTTGGAGGGTGGTTTGGGGCGGGTTTGGGGTTGTTTCAGGCAGGTTTGGGCTGTTTGGGGCTGCCTTGGGGCAGTTTTGGGGCAGTTTTGGTGCTGTTTGGGGCTGTTTTGGTGCTGTTTGGGGCTGTTCGGTGCCATTTGGTGCTTGTTTGGTGCTGTTTGGTGCCGTTTGGTGCTGTTTGGTGCTGTTTGGTGCTTGTTTGGTGCTGTTTTGGGGCTGGTTTGGTGCTGTTTGATGCTGTTGTTTTGGTGCCGTTTGGTGCTGTTTGGTGCTTGTTTGGTGCCGTTTGGTGCTGTTTTGGGGCTGGTTTGGTGCTGTTGGTTTGGTGCTGTTTTGGGACTGGTTTGGTGCTGTTTGGTGCTGTTGGTTTGGTGCTGGTTTGGTGCTGTTTTGGTGCTGTTTGGTGCTGTTTGGTGCTTGTTTGGTGCCGTTTGGTGCTGTTTTGGTGCTGTTTGGCTCTGTTTTGGTGCTGTTTGGGTGCTGGTTCCGGGCTCCCTCACTGTGCTCGGGTCCCCCCCAGGCTCCCCGGCAGAGTTCGTGGTGAACACGTCCAAGGCGGGCCCGGGGGCTTTGGCCGTCACCATCGAGGGCCCGTCCAAGGTGAAGATGGATTGCCGGGAGTGCGCCGAGGGCTACCGCGTGAGCTACACCCCCATGGCCCCCGGCAGCTACCTCATCGCCATCAAGTTCGGGGGCCCCCACCACATCGTGGGCAGCCCCTTCAAGGCCAAGATCACCGGTAACGGGGGGCACCGGGGCCGGGGGGGTTGGGCACTGCTGGGGTGCATTGATCTGCATTGGGTGCATTGATCTGCATTGGGGTACATTGATCAGTATTGAGGTGCATTGATCAGCATTGGGTGCATTGGTCAGTATTGGGTGCATTGACAGTATTGCGTGCATTGATCAGTATTGGGTGCATTGATCAGCATTGGGGTGCATTGATTAGTATTGGGGTGCATTGATTAGTATTGGGTGCATTGATCAGCATTGGGGTGCATTGCGGCAGATTTTGGGTCAGTTTGGGGTCAGTTTGGGTCCAGTTTAGGTCACTGTGCGTCACTGTGGGTCTCTATGGTCTCTATGGGTCTCTATGGTCTCTATGGGTCTCTATGTATCATTATGGGTCTCTATGGGTCTCTATGGTTCCCTATGGGTCTCTATGGGTCTCTATGTGTCATTATGGGTCTCTATGGGTCTCTATGTATCTTTATGGGTCTCTATGGGTCTCTATGTATCATTATGGGTCTCTATGGGTCTCTATGTTCTCTATGGGTCTCTACGGGTCTCTATGTGTCATTATGGGTCTCCATGGGTCTCTATGGTTCCCTATGGGTCACCCTGGGTCACTCCGTGCTCCTCTGCCCCAGGCCCGCGCCTCGTGAGCAGCCACAGCCTCCGCGAGAGCTCCTCGGTGCTGGTGGACGCCGGTGGGGGGGGCGCAGCCGCGGCGGCCGCTGGAGGAGCCCCCCCCGGAGCCGCCCCCCCGGGCTCGGACGCCGGGCGCGTGGTGGCCAAAGGGCTGGGGCTCAGCAAGGCCTTCGTGGGGCAGAAGAACAGCTTCAGCCTGGACTGCAGCCGCGCCGGTGCGGGGCCCCCCAGGGCACCCCTATGGGGGATACCCACCCCTATGGGGGATACCCACCCCATGGCACCCCTATGGGGGATACCCACCCCATGGCACCCCTATGGGGGATACCCACCCCCTATGGGGGATACCCACTCCCTATGGGTGATACCCCCCCATGGCACCCAATGGGTGATACCAACCCCATGGCACCCCTATGGGGGATACCCACCCCCTATGGGGGATACCCACCCCATGGCACCCCTATGGGGGATACCCACCCCCATGCACCCCCTATGGGTGATACCCACCCCATGGCACCCCTATGGGTGATACCCCCCCAATGACCCTCCCATGACACCCCCAGTGACCCTCCCCAGGTCATACCGCCCCAATGCCCCTCCCATGGGTGATAGCCCCATAACCCCCCCCATGGGTGATGCAAGTGTGGGACGCTCCCATAGGTGATACCCTCCCAATGACACCCCCCCCAATGCCAGCCCCCATCACCACCCCTGAGCCCTCCTTTTGGGGGGGATGTTTGGGGGGGGAGGGGGCTGCTTTTTAGGGGGTTCTCAGCTCCTGTTTTGGGGGTGTCCCCTCTTGGCAGGGGGGGTTCAGAATGGCATCAGTGTGAGCAGCACCGCTTGTGTCTCCCTCCTCCCCCCCCCCATTCCTGCTTTGGGTGGGAGTGGGACCCCCCTATTTTTGGTGTTCCCCCTATTTTTGGGGTGTTCTCCCTATTTTGGGGATGTTTCCCCCATTTTGGGGTGGTTTTCCCTATTTTGGAGGATGTTTCCCCTATTTTGGGTTTGTTTCCCCCCCCCATTTTTGGGGTATCCCCCCCGTTTTGGGGTGTTCTCCCTCTTTTGGGGGATGTTTCCCCCCATTTTTGGGCTGTTCCCCCTATTTTGGGAGGGGTTTCCCCCCATTTCAGTGCTGTCCCCCCCCATTTTTGCTCTGTCCCCCCCTGACCCCCTCTCCCCTCCCCCCAGGGAACAACATGCTGCTGGTGGGGGTGCAGGGCCCGCGCTGCCCCTGCGAGGAGATCGTGGTGAAGCACCTGGGGAACCAGCTCTACAGCGTCAGCTACGTCCTGCGGGAGCGCGGCGACCACCTCCTGGTCATCAAATGGGGCGAGCAGCACATCCCCAACAGCCCCTTCCGGGTCACCGTGCCCTAGGGCCGGCCCCGCGCCCGCCGGGGGGGGCTTGGCTCAGCTGCGGGACCCACGGAGCCAATGGGGGGGAGGGGGGCGGATCTTGTCCTGACTTCGGGGGACCCAGACCCACCTGGGGGCATCCGGACCCGCTATGGGGGGCTTCAACACAGTGTGGGATCCCTAGACCTCCTATGGGACCCACAGACCCACTATGGGACCCACAGACCCACTATGGGAACCACAGACCCACTATGGGACCCACAGACCCCACTATGGGACCCACAGACCCCACTATGGGGGGGCTGAGACCCACTATGGGACCCCAGACCCCACTATGGGACCCACAGACCCCAATATGGGGGTACCGAGACCCACTATGAGGACCCCCAGACCCACTTCGGGGTGACACAGCCCCACTTTCGGGACCCCCTCCCATTATGATGCCCCCACCCCCGGGTCCTGCTTTGGGCCCCGCCACTGCTGCCCCTCCCCCACCACCACTTCCCCTCCCCCCCCCCCCCGCTGCCATTTTGGCCCCCGCCCCTCCCCCATCCTTGTTTTTTTTATTTTATTGGAATTTTGTACCAGCCGCGGGGGGCCCCTCCCCCCCTCCCCTCCCCCCAATAAACTCGTTCTGCTTCAGCTGCCTCCGATGGGGGGGTCTGTAGGGGAAAAAGGGGGCTTATATAGGGGAGGGGGGACCTATGGGGGGTTATATAGGGGAGGAGGGACTTATGGGGGGGTTATAGGGGAGGAGGGACTTATGGGGGGGTATATAGGGGAGGGGGGACCTATGGGGGGCTTATATAGGGGGGCGGGACACATACATGAGAATGGATGGGGGGGGCCTATGGGGGGAGCTCTATGAGGAGAGGATAGGGGGGCTATGGGGGGGGCAACCTGTGTGGGGTGGGATGGGAGGGGTGTATATAATGGGGGGGGAATGGGGGAGACCCGCATGGCGAGGGGGCACCCATAGGCGGGGGTGCACTGGGGGTGCACTGGGGGACCCCGTCTATGGGGGCCGCCCCCGTTATGGGGCTGAGTCAGAGCGCGGGTGCGCCTTTCCCCATATATGGACTTATGCAAAGGAGACCCCGCCCACATAGAGGGAGGGCGGTGCCATGCAAATATAACGAGTGACGTTATAGACGCCGTCCAATCAGCTGCCTGGACGCAGCCGCACACAAATGCCTCCCCTCTGCGCATGCGCCCATTTCCCGTCGCTCAAGGGCCGCGCTCTGATTGGCTCCTGCCGTTCTATGGTGGACAAGCGCGCTAGAGCGGCGCCACCGCCTCTATGGTCGGTGAACGGCGCCGGAGGTCCTCCCACCCCTCTATAACACCCTATATACCTACATACAGCACCCTATAGCCTCCTGTAGCCCCCTATAGCCTCCTGTAGCCCCCTATAGCCCTCCCCACCTCTCCCGGTCCTCCCCCCGGCACCGAGCGAGTCCTCCAGCGCCGCCCAGAGCGCCGCCGGAAGTTTCGTGCCTCGGGGGGCGTGACCGGAAGCAGAGGGCGGGGACACTATAAAAGCCGTGCGCAGGCGCCACCGCCCTCTCTTTGGAGCTGGGCGAGGTGCGGAGCGGAACGCGCCGGGCGCGGGGGGGCCACAGGGGCCCACGGGGGGGTTCCCGGCCCCCCCTCCCCCCTCATCCCCCCCGTTCTCTCCCGCAGGTCCCGGAGCCGCCGCCATGGGCCGCCGCCCGGCGCGATGGTGAGGCGCGTGACGCCAGCGCGGGGGGTGCTGACGTCATTGCGGGGGGGGAGGGTGGTTTGGGGTCCCCCCATTAATCACCCCCCATCCCCCCCCCAGTTACAGGTACTGCAAGAACAAACCGTACCCCAAGTCCCGCTTCTGCCGGGGGGTTCCCGGTGAGTCCCCAACATCCCGCCCCCCCAAAAACCCTCATGGGGGGCGCGCCTTGATCCCCCCATTGATCCCTCCCCACTGATCCCCTCCCCATTGATCCTTCCCTATTGATCTCCTCCCCATTGATTCCTCCCCATTGATCCCCTCCCCACTGATCCCCTCCCCACTGATCCTTCCCTATTGATCCTCTCCCCATTGATTCCTCCCCACTGATCCTTCCCTATTGATCCTCTCCCCATTGATTCCCCCCCCATTTCCCCTCCACAGACCCCAAGATTCGCATCTTCGACCTGGGCCGCAAGAAGGCGAAGGTGGACGAGTTCCCGCTGTGTGGGCACATGGTGTCGGATGAGTACGAGCAGCTCAGCTCCGAAGGTGCGTGTGGGGCACGGGGGGGGCTCTATGGGGTGAGCCTGCGGCACAGGGTGACCCCCGCATGGTGTTTGTGCCCCCCCAGCGCTGGAGGCCGCCCGCATCTGCGCCAACAAGTACATGGTGAAGAGCTGCGGGAAGGACGGGTTCCACATCCGGGTGCGCCTGCACCCCTTCCACGTCATCCGCATCAACAAGATGCTCTCGTGCGCGGGGGCCGACAGGTCAGGGTGACCCCCCCAAACCACAACCGGGGTGGGGGCAGGCAGGATGTGCTCTGGTGCCTCCATCCCATGGGGAGCTCAGTGCACCCCCCTAGATCGATCCCCCCCCGTTCTGCCCCCGGTTTTGGGGTGTTTGTGGGGTCAGGGCCCTACCAGGACATAGGGGGGGTTCTGAAGGGGGGGCTGTCCTCACTTCCGGGGTGGATTCTTGGGTGCGGGTTGGACTTCGGGATGCAAACCCCATTGGCTGGGTTGGAATATGGGGTGCTCCTGTTTCCCTATGGGGGTGCCCCCGGGGTCCTCCTGCTCCCCCCCCCGCAGCTAATTAAGCCGGCCGTGGCCCCCCCCTCAGTGGGGTCCCGGTGTGCAATGGCTGCACACAGCATTCCCCCGGCTGTGTAGGGCGCCCCACTGCCCCCCCTCAGTGGGGTGCTCCAAGGGGCCGGGGGCACAGCCCTTCCCCCCCTCCCTAGGGCTGGGTGTGGGGCGCCCCCCCCTCACCCCCCCGTACCCCCCAGGCTGCAGACCGGGATGCGCGGCGCCTTCGGGAAGCCGCAGGGGACGGTGGCGCGGGTGCACATCGGCCAGGTCATCATGTCCATCCGCACCAAGGCCCAGAACAAGGAGCACGTGGTGGAGGCCCTGCGCAGAGCCAAGTTCAAGTTCCCCGGGCGCCAGAAGGTACCGGGGGGGGGGCTCGGTGTCACCCCAGGAGCTGCTCTTCAGGGAGACTCGGGGGGCCGGGGGGGTGTCCCCCATAGGCTGTCCCCCATAGCCTGGCCCCCATAGGCTGTCCCCCATAGCCTGTCCCCCATAGCATGTCCCCTATAGGATGTCCTCCATAGGACATCCCCCATAGGTTGTCCCCTATAGCATGTCCCCCATAGCTTGTCCCCCATAGGATGTCCCCCATAGCTTGTCCCCCACGGGCTGTCCCCCATAGCCTGTCCCCCATAGCTTGTCCCCCATGGGCTGTCCCCCATAGCCTGTCCCCCATAGCCTGTCCCCCATAGGCTGTCCCCCATAGCCTGTCCCCCATAGCCTGTCCCCCATAGGATGTCCTCCATAGGACATCCCCCATAGGTTGTCCCCTATAGCATGTCCCCCATAGCTTGTCCCCCACGGGCTGTCCCCCATACCATGTCCCCCATAGGTTGTCCCATGGTGTCCCATGACTCCACCCAGTGCTCCCAGTGGATGGGCTCACACACGAGAAGGGGGGATCCTTGTGCCCCCCAAATGAGTAATGTGGGGGGAGCTTGGGGCACATCTCATGGGGTGAAGGGGGGGTTCCGGGGTGCCCCTGACACCAGGGTGCTGCTGGGGGGTTCCGGGGTGCCCCTGACACCAGGGTGCTGCTGGGGGGTTCCGGGGTGCCCCTCACACCAGGGTGCTGCTGGGGGGGTTCCGGGGTGCCCCTGACCCCGTCCCTGCCCCCCCCCCCCAGATCCACATCTCCAAGAAGTGGGGCTTCACCAAGTTCAACGCCGACGCCTTCGAGGAGATGGTGGCTCAGAAGCGCCTCATCCCCGACGGCTGCGGGGTCAAGTACGTCCCGTGCCGGGGCCCCCTGGACCGCTGGCGGGCGCTGCACGCGGCCTGAACCCCGGCACCCCCAGAACCCCGCTGCGGGACCTCCACCGCCAGGGGGCGCGCTTACAGGCAGGGGGGTGCAGGTCCCTGCCTCCCAGAGCGCCCTCTGGTGGGTGGGAGGACTTGGGGAACCCCGTGTTGGTTTTGGGGGGTCCTGGCACAAATAAAGGTCTGTGGAGCTCTTCCCCCACTGCATTGCTCCGTTTTTGGGGGGAGGGTAGGTGGGGGAGGGGTTTGCCCCCCCCCCCCCCCAAATAGATGAGGCTGCACAATTGGGGTGAAATGAGTAAAAATGAGGCTTTGCTTTATTCCCAACGCGGCCCCTCCCCCCCACGGGCTGTACACAGGGTGGGGGTGGGGCAGGACACAGGGGTGGGGGAAGGGCACCTCAGGTTTGGGGGAGGAAGAGAAGGGGGGGAGGGGAGGTCACCGCGGGGGGGCTATAAAAAAAACTATAAAAACCCAAAACTTCACATTCACAGACGATGATGAGGGGGGAGGGGCGCTCGGCCCCCATTGTGCTTAGGGGAGGCCCCCATCGAATGAGGGGAGGGGGTTGGGGGAGGCGGTTTCCCGCTGTAGCACCGAGAGCTGCGGGGGCTCCCCCGCAGCACAATGAGGGGGGGGTCCCCGTTACACGGTGGTGACCGAGAGGAGGGGGCTGCCCCCCCCGCGCCCGCCCTCGCCCCGCGCCAGCATCTCCTGGATCGTGACCCAGTTATCGAGGATGCGGCGGCTCCGCTTGCGGGGCCCGCGCCGGGCGGCCCCGGCCGGGGGGGGCGGCTCCGGAGCCCCCGCTCCCGGTGCCGCTGCCGGGGGCTCGGCCCGGGCCTGCAGGAGCAGCTCCCGCCGCCGCCGCTGCTCCCGCGCCCGCGCCAGGTGCTGCTTGCGCTGCTCGCGGCTCCAGTAGCGCCCGGTCTTGAGCTCGCTGCGGGCGTCGTCGTCCGTGGTGGAGCCGCCGCGCTCCTCCAGGATCTTGATGGCGCGGGCCTTGAGGAGCCGATCCCGGCCCGGCCGCTTCCCCCGCGGGCCCCCGCCGCGGGCCCCCCCAGCCCCGGTTCCGGTTCCGGGTGCCGGCACCGCCCAGCCGCGCGGCGGGGGGGAGCTCCGGCAGCTCTCGCCCGTGTTGTAGGCGCTGGTGCTGTCCCGCTCCGGCGCCTCCGAGATGTCGGCGAGGCCGCGCTCCCGCACCCGCTCCGCCGCCTGCGCCCGCAGCAGCTGCCGGCACCGCAGCTCCAGGAGCCGCAGCTCCTCCCCGAGCAGCGCCAGCTCCGCTCCGCCGCCCCCGGGCCCCGCCGCTCCCCCTCGCCGACCCCGCAGCTGCCGGTAGCGCCGGAGCTCGGCCGGGACCAGCGGAGCCGCTGCGGGCCCCGGGGACAGCCCCGCTCCGAGCGGCGCCGCGCAGCCCGCGCCGGGTCTTGGCGCGGACCCGGCTCTGGCGCCGGGCGCTACCGCGGGGCAAGGCCCGGATCCAGCTCCGGTTCTTCCGCCCGACCCCGAGCTCGATCCGGAGCCGGGCCTTGCCCCGGGGCTCAGCCCCGATCCGGAGCCAGGGCCGGGTCTTCCCGCGGGCCCGGCGCGGCCCCGGGGGCTGCCCCCGGCTCCAGTTCCGGTTCCGGTTCCAGGGCCCGGCCGGGCCGGGGGCGGGCGCCGCGGGGCCGCGCGCGGGGGGGTCCCGTCGCCCTCCTCCCCCCTCGGGTCGTGCTCGGAGCTCTCCTCGTTCCGGGTGCTCTCGTCCGTGCGCCCCACGCCGCTGTCCGGCTCCGCCCCCCGCGCGCAGGGGGTGGCGGGGCTGGGGGGCTGCGGGGAGGGGGGAGGTCACCGGTAGCACCGGACCCCCCCCATTGCCCCCCCCCCGCTGACCCCCCCGGTTCCACGGGGCCCCCCCTCCCCGAGCTCCCCCCCAGCCCCGGTACCTGCCCCGGGGGGCTCCAGGCCCGGCGCTGCCGCGCGTCCCCGTCCTCATCGGAGCCGAAGTCATCGAGGAAATCCTCGCGGTCGCTGTCCTTCCAGCGCTGCGGGACGGGCTCAGCACCCCCACAGACACCCTACAGGCTCCCCATGGACCCCCTTATAGGCTTCCTAAAGACCCCCCATAGACCCCCTATAGACCCCCCCCATAGACATCCTAAAGACCTCTACAGACACCCTATAGACTCCCCATAGACCCCGTATAGAGATCCTAAAAACCCCCCCCATAGACCCCCTATAGACATCCTACAGACTCCCCATAGATCCCCCTACAGACCCCCTATAGATATCCTAGACTCCCAATAGGCCCCCCATAGACATCCTAAAGACCCCCTAGAGACTCCCCCATAGACCCCCCCCACAGACTCCCCATAGACCCCCCCCCTGCAGGCCCCCCTATAGACCCCCTGATAGCCCCCCCTATACCCCCCATGCCCCCCCCGGGCCATACCTGGCTCTCGGGCCGGGCCAGCAGGAGGGAGATGTTCGTTTGCTGCTCCTGGGTCAGGAAGGCCACAGCCTCCTCCCGGTCCTGCACCTCCACCCCATTGATCTGGGGGGGTTCATAGCGATCAATGGGGCAATGCCCCCCCATGCACCCCAATGGGTGCTGCCCCCCTCCCAAACCCCACCTGGATGATGCGGTCGCCCTCGCGGATGCGCCCGTCCTTGGCCGCGATGCTGTTGGGGTTCACCTTTGGGGGGGTACACAAATGGGGGGGTCAGCACCCTCAGTGCCCCTCCCACGCCCTCCCCCTCCAGCCCCATTGACCCAATGACCCCATGAGGCTCCTCCCCTATGGGGGTACTCCAGCCCCCCCCATTAGGCACAATGGGGACCCCCCCGAATACCTCCCCCACGTAGATGCCGGCGTCCTCCTCGCCGTCCGTGCGGTAGCAGACGGTGAGGCCCAGCTTGTCCCGGTGGCTGCTCTTGTACAGCTCCACCTCCTGCGGGCACCATGGATGGGGGGGTCCCCAATGTCCCAGAGCCCCCCCCAGAGCAGACCCAGCCCCAGGGCCGGGGCTCACCTCGTACTCCAGCTCCTCCGGGCGCTCGGGGTCCCCCAGGTCCGTGGGGTCGAAATAGTCATGGGGCAGTGGGGGGCTGGGGGGGGGAGAAGGGTTGGGGGGATCCCAAAGGGTCTCTTTGGGGGGGGGTCTAAAGGGCTCTAAGGGACATTGGGGGAGGTAAAGGATGTGGATAAGGGAGAGGGGGATGCTTGGGGGTACCAAAGAGTGGGGGGGGGCGTTCCATGGAGGTCCCCAAGGGGCCTGCGGAGGGGGTCTATGGGGGGGGGAAGCATCTATGGGGAACCCAATGGGTTGGGAAGGCCCAGGGGGGCCCTATGGGTGAGGTACCCCATAGATGGGTGCCGGGGGGGATCACAGAGGGGTCTGGGGGGGGTCCCCATGGGGGGGTCACTCACGGCTCGGCCCCCCCGAAGCTGATGTCCGTCTGGGTCCCGCTGTCCACCAGCCCCGCGCTGGGGCCTGGGGGCGGGAGGGGGGGGGGAGGCCCCGGCCCCCCCCAGGGGGCGGCCCCTGCAGCGGGGGGGGGGCGGCCCCGGGGGCTGCGGCGCAGCACGTGCAGGACCAGCGGCTCCTTCACCCCCCGCGGGCCCCCCCGGGCCGGCTCCCGCCGCGGCCCCTCCCTCCCGCTCACCTGGGGGGGGCGCGGGGGGGTCAGGGCGCAGGCACCGCCCATGGAGCCCCCAAACCCCCCATGGAGCCCCCAACTCCCCCTGGAGCCCCAAACCCCCCCATGGAGCCCCCCAACTCCCCCATGGAGCCCCAAACCCCCCCATGGAGCCCCCCAACTCCCCCATGGAGCCCCAAACCCCCCCATGGAGCCCCAAACCCCCCCATGGAGCCCCCAAACCCCCCCATGGAGCCCCAAACCCCCCATGGAGCCCCCAAACCCCCGTCATGGAGGCCCCACCCCGCCCCTCCCTCCCTCCTCCCCCCCCCAGGCTGCCGCCCCCCCCTCCATTGTCTGCTTCTTGCCCGCAACGGTTGCCATGGAAACCGGAGGGAGGTGGGCGGGGCCAGAGGATGGGGTAGAGACCCCCCATGGGTGTGGCAGGATCCCCCCCCGGCCCCACAGCCCAGCCCCCTGCCCCATAGACCGCACTGAGCTCCCCCATGGACCCCACTGCCTGTCCCTATACCCCTCGTCACCCATCCCCACAGCCCCTATAGCACCACGATCTGTCCCTATGGCTCCAGCTGTGCCCCGTCCCCCACCCCTGCAGCCCCCATTATTTGTCCATACAGACCCCCCCCACACCCCATAGCCCCCTTACCCACCCCACAGCTCCTATATGTGTCCCTCCACACCCCTTACCTGTCCGCCCCTATGACTCTCACCACCCGTCCCCACACCCCTACGGCTCTATCATCTGTCCCTAGACCCACCGTTACCTGTACCCTCACCCTAGAGCGCCATTACCTGGCCCTATAGCCCCGTTATCTATAGCCCCCCACCCCCTATAGCCCCCGTTATCTATAGCCCCACACCCCCTATAGCCCCCATTATCTATAGCCCCCGTTACCTATAGCCCCCGTTATCTATAGCCCCCGTTACCTATAGCCCCCGTTATCTATAGCCCCCGTTACCTATAGCCCCCGTTATCTATAGCCCCCGTTACCTATAGCTCCTCTTATCTATAGCCCCCGTTATCTATAGCCCCCGTTCCCCACTGCCCCCGTTCCCCACAGCCCCCCACCCCCTATAGCCCCCGTTATCTATAGTCTCCGTTATCTATAGCCCCCCACCCCCTATAGCCCCCCGCCCCCTATAACCTATAGCCCCCGTTACCTACAGCCCCTGTTACCTACAGCCCCCGTTATCTACAGCCCCCGTTATCTATAGCCCCCGTTACCTATAGCTCCTGTTATCTACAGCCCCCGTTATCTACAGCCCCCGTTACCTGTAGCCCCCGTAGCCCCGTTCCCCCGGCCCGGGCTGTCCCGGTCCCGCCGGTACCTGCAGCATCACCCGGTGCTGCTCCTCCGGTTTCTGCACCACGCACATGTTGCAGCCCATGGCGGGCCCAGCCCAGCCCCGCCGCGCCCGGTCTCGAACCCGCGGCCCCGCGATGCTCAGCCCCGGGCCCCGCCGCGCTGCGGGGGGGGGCGGCGGCAGCAGCGGCCCCCCCGGGCCCCCCCGGCCCCCATCGCGGCGGGAGGGTCCGGCGGGGCCGCGCCGGTTCCGGTTCCGGTTCGGGCCGGTTCGCGCCGGTTCCGCCGGCGGCGGCGGGTGGCGGCTCCGCGGCGATGGCGGCAGGAGGGGCCGCGGGGCTGGCCACGCCCCCTCCGACAGGCCACGCCCCCTCCATAGCCCCCCGTGGGCACCCCTACACCCCCCTATGGCCCCTCCGTACGCTCTCCATAGATCCCCTATAGATTCCCTATAGTCCCCCATGTCCCTGACAGCCCCTCCACATTCCCCTATACCCCCCCTATGGCCCCTCCATAAGCTCTCCATAGATCCCCTGTAGATCCCCTATAGGTTCCCTATAGTCCCCCATGTCCACCCCTGACAGCCCCTCCACATTCCTCTATACCCCCCTGCCCCTCCATACGCTCTCCATAGATCCCCTATAGCCCCCTCCCAATCCCCTAGAGGCCCCCAAACCTCCACAGCCCCCTATAGACCTGACTCCGACCCACTATAATTGTGTACCCCTCCCCCGGAGCATCACACTCCCCCCAGCCCCCTATAGACAGCCCCCCCCAGCCCCTATAGGTACCCTATAGACACCCCCCCCAGCCCCTATAGCCCCCCCCAGCCCCTATAGACCCCCCCCCAGCCCCTATAGGCACCCTATAGACCCCCCCAGCCCCTATAGCCCCCCCCAGCCCCTATAGCCCCCCCATCGCCCCCAGCCTCATTCTCCCAGGTTCCTCCTTTATTTCACCGTTTGTTCCCGTTTTCCGCCCGTTTCGCGTCGCGCCGGGTCTGGGGGGGGGGGGGTAGGAGCGGGGTACGCAGGGATCGGCGGCTGCTTCCGGCCGCTTGGGGCCGTTTGGGGACGTTTTGGGGCCGTTTCCACTTCTTTTCCTTGGGGGGGTTGGGCGGGGGGGGGCTAACGCAGCTACACACCAGCGCAGGGGGGGATTTGGGGTGCGGGGGTGTTTGGGGGCCGGGAGGGGGGCCGCGGGGTGATGCCAAGGCCGCGCCGTGAGATGCATTCAGAGATGGGGGGGTCGTCGGGGACCCCCCAAACCCCGAGGGCCCTGAAGGGTTATAGGGGGGGTGGGGCTGGAATATGGGGGGTAAAACCACCCCCCCCCAATTTGGTCTAAAGAGATCCCCGGCCGCGGGGGGGCCTTGGGGTTTGGCAACATCCAGCGGGGGTCCCCGCCCCCCCCAGTGAGGCGCTTTTGGGGTGCTCTGCCCCCCCCAACCCCCCGTTGCACAGGGGGTGGCACTGCGGGATCCCCCCCTTTGGCAGTGGATGGGGGTGGGGGGGCCCTTAATGGGGATTGAGGAGGGGGTTGGGGTCCCCTTTGGCTTTGGGGGGTCCCTTTGCAAGAGGGGACTCTGGGGGGTTACCAGAGCTGAGGGGGGAGTCCCCAATGCCATGAAGGGGCTCCCATGATGCTCTGGGGGCTCCCTCAATGCTGTGGGGTCCCCAGCACCATGGGAACCCCCCCAGTGTCATGGGGGGGCTCCCGCAGTGCAAGGGGTGGGGTTCCCAGTGCAATGGGTGCTCCCCCGATGCCATTAGGGGGTCCCCAGTGCAATGGGTGCTCCCCCAATGCCATTAGGGGGTCCCCAGTGCAATGGGTGCTCCCCCGATGCCATTAGGGGGTCCCCAGTGCAATGGGTGCTCCCCAGCGCCATTAAGGGGTCCCGATGGCGGGGTCCCCCCTAGTCGAGGGGCGCGGTGGCGCCGGGGCTGGCGGGCCCGGAGCCGCGGGTGCCGCTGTACTGCCCGATGAAGGAGCCGTCCTCGTTGAACTGCACGTCCGCGCTGCCGCCGTAGCCCGCCAGGCTGTCATCGCTGCCCAGCGCCGCGCCCGCCGCGCCCAGCGACCGCCCCGAGCTCTGCGACGCCTTCTCCTCGCCGTCACTGCCCGCGGCACCCACACGCACCCGTTGGTACCCACAGACACCCACTGGGACCCACTGATACCCACTGATACCCACAGGCACCCATTGGTACCCACAGGCACCCACTGGGACCCACTGATACCCACAGACACCCGTTGGTACCCATTGGTACCCACAGACACCCACTGGTACCCACTGATACCCACAGACACCCATTGGTACCCATTGGTACCCAGTGACACCCACTGGGACCCACTGATACCCACAGGCACCCATTGGTACCCACAGACACCCACTGGGACCCACTGATACCCACAGGCACCCGTTGGTACCCATTGGTACCCAGTGATACCCACAGGCACCCACTGGTACCCACTGATACCCACAGGCACCCACTGGCACCCATTGGTACCCAGTGACACCCACAGGCACCCGTTGGTACCCACAGACACCCACTGGTACCCACTGATACCCACAGGCACCCGTTGGTACCCATTGGTACCCAGTGATACCCACAGACACCCATTGGTACCCAGTGACACCCACTGATACCCACTGGTGCCCACTGATACCCACAGACACCCATTGGTACCCAGTGACACCCATTGGTACCCAGAGACACCCATTGGTACCCAGTGATACCCATTGGTACCCAGCGACACCCATTGGTACCCCATTGACACCCAGTGACATCCATTGATACCCACTGGCACCAATTGGGACTCATTGATACCTAGTGATACCCCACTGACACCCAGTGATACCCATTGATACCCCATTGACACCCCATCGATACCCAGTGACACCCACTGGTACCCGGTGATACCCACTGACACTCCATTGGCACTCACTGATACCCATTAGCACCCCCATTGGCACCCCATTCCATCACCACCACCCCATTGCCCCCCCCCCATGCTGTGGGCACTGGGGCATGCAGATGGATGCTATGGGGGGGTACACACACATCAGGACCCCCCTCACAAAAGGTGTCCCCACAGCACTCCCAGGGGTGCTGTGACCCCCCCTTACCTCTCCAAGGACCTGCATGAGCCCCCGTGGCAGCGGGGAGAGACAGAGCAGCCGGGGGCAAAAGCATTGGGGGGGGCAATTAATTAACGAGGGGGCGAGCAATTAGGGGGGGCAATTAATGAAGGGGAAGCAAGAGGTGCCCAGAAGCATTAAATACCCCCCCCATTAAATACCCCCCCATTAGCCTCCCACCCACCTGTACTCCCCAAAGGTCTCATCCTTCATGGGCCGGGCCTCCGAGTCTGCCTGCGTGTCCTCCTTGTCCTTCACTGGGGGGGCACAGCACGGTTGGGGGGGCAGCACCCTCAGAGTTGTCACCCCTAAATGCTGTGGGGACCCCCCCCGCTCCCTGCAGCTGTGGGGACCCCATACACCCCCCAAGGAGCAGCCATCCCCCCCCCAAAGACACCTCCATCTCCTGAAGACCCCCCCCCGTCGCCTGAGTCCCCCCCATCACTTGGTGCCCCCCCATAACCCCAAGGACCGCACAATTGCCTCAAGGCCTGTACCCGGGTGCTGAGGGCCCAGGGGGGGCCCGGGGGGGGTCGGGGGGGGTCCAGGGGACCCCGGGGGGGCTCTGGGCTCACCCGAATACTTGCCCCCCTTGCTGCGCTTGATGAAGCAGAGGATGAGGAGCAGCAGCAGCAGCAGCACCACGGCGCTCACGAAGCCGATGAACCAGCCCTCGGTGGCGAAGCCGCTCGCGGGACGGGGCAGCACTGGGGGGGGTGAGAAAGGGGTTTGGGGACCCCCCCACGAGCACCTCGAGGGATGCTCCAGGGGAAAAGGTGGGGTTGGGGGGGGAAAGGGGGGTCTGGGGCAGGAAAACGCCCTTTCAAGGCAGGCACAGGGGGGTTCAGGGTCCCCCTCCCTCCCTCCCGCAGCACTTTGGGGGTGCGGGGGGGTCACTCACGGGTGCCGTTGGTCTGCACCTCGCTCTCCCAGAAGGGGATGTGGTGCCCCGAGTGGTTCCGCCCCACGAACTGCACCCGGTAGGAGGTGCCCGGGCTCAGGTCCCGCAGCCGGAACAGACCCAGCGAGGAGTTGACGGAGCCGGAGTCGTGCCAGGACCCCTCCGCTGGGGGGGGCGGGCTCAGTGAGACCCCCCCATAACGTACCCATGGGCACCCCCCCATAACGTACCCATGGGCACCCCCCCATAACGTACCCATGGGCACCCCCCCATAACGTACCCATGGACCCCCCCATAACGTACCCATGGGTACCCCCCATAACGTACCCATGGGCACCCCCCCATAACGTACCCATGGACCCCCCCCATAACGTACCCATGGACCCCCCCATAACGTACCCATGGACCCCCCCCCCATAACGTACCCATAGGCACCCCCCCATAACGTACCCATGGGCACCCCCCCATAACGTACCCATGGGCACCCCCCCATAACGTACCCATGGGCACCCCCCATAACGTACCCATGGACCCCCCCATAACGTACCCATGGGCACCCCCAGTGCCCACATCCCACCTCTTTCCCCATCACCCAATGGACCCCCCCCCTTCCTCTTGTTACTTACAGGCAGTCCCCCAAGCACCACAGGGGCCACCCCAAACCCCATTTCTACCCCCTCACCACCCCCCCCCATCCCAGTGGGGCTCTCTTACTGGTTTTGCTCATGTACTGGACCTTGAACTCGATGTCAGCCTGGGGGTGGGCGAGGGTCCAGTGCAGCACCGTGAAGTCCTCGCCCACCTCTCCCACCACCACGCTCCCCAGCACCGGCAGCACTGCAGAGGGGGGGGTTCAAATGGTGGGGGTGTCCCCAGGAACAGAGCCCCCCCCCCCAATATCACCCCTGCCTTGGCATTCTGGGCTCTCCACAGGATGGTCATGGGGGGAGATGGAGCTCTTTGGGGTCCATTGAGGGGGGACGGGTGGGTGATGGAATCCATTGGAGTTTATTGGGGGGGTCATGGGGGGGGTCTCAAGGGGGCATTTCCCGGCCCCTCCATGGTGGTTCTGGGGTCTCATGGAGCCCGCCGTGGTTTCAAGCCTGTTTCGAGCCCCCCCCCGCGGTACCGGACACCCCGGTCCCCCCCTTCCCGCGGTACCGGACACCCCGGTCCCCCCCTCCCGCGGTACCGGACACGCCGGTCCCCCCCTCCCGCGGTACCGGACACCCCGGTCCCCCCTCCCGCGGTACCGGACACGCCGGTCCCCCCTCCCGGTACCGGACACCCCGGTCCCCCCCCCGCGGTACCGGACACCCCGGTCCCCCCCTTCCCGCGGTACCGGACACCCCGGTCCCCCCCTTCCCGCGGTACCGGAACACCCCGGTCCCCCCCTCCCGCGGTACCGGGGCACGCACCGGGCTCGGGGCGGAGGCTGCCGATGCGCAGCACGGGGGGGCCGGGCCCGACCCGGCTCAGGGCGCGCAGGGCCAGGCGGTACCGGGCGTGGGGCTGGAGCCGCCCCAGGGTCGCGTTGAGGGTCCCGGCGGGGAACGAGAGCTCCTCCGGCGGCTCCTCCTCGGAGTGGTTCTCTACGGGCGGGACGGAGTCAGCGCACACCGGAGACGGGATCCGCTCCCGGGACCCCCGCTGCTCCCAGATCCGCATCCCAGTGCTCCCAGTGCTCCCAGATCCGCATCCCAGTGCTCCCAGTGCTCCCAGATCCACATCCCAGTGCTCCCAGATCCGCATCCCAGTGCTCCCAGATCCCCATCCCAGTGCTCCCAGTGCTCCCAGATCCGCATCCCAGTGCTCCCAGATCCACATCCCAGTGCTCCCAGATCCGCATCCCAGTGCTCCCAGATCCCCATCCCAGTGCTCCCAGTGCTCCCAGATCCGCATCCCAGTGCTCCCAGATCCACATCCCAGTGATCCCAGTGCTCCCAGATCGCATCCCAGTGCTCCCAGATCCACATCCCAGTGCTCCCAGATCCGCATCCCAGTGCTCCCAGATCCCCATCCCAGTGCTCCCAGTGCTCCCAGATCTGCATCCCAGTGCTCCCAGATCCACATCCCAGTGCTCCCAGTGCTCCCAGATCCGCATCCCAGTGCTCCCAGATCCCCATCCCAGTGCTCCCAGTGCTCCCAGATCCCCATCCCAGTGCTCTCAGATCCCCATCCCAGTGCTCCCAGTGCTCCCAGATCCGCATCCCAGCGCTCCCAGTCTCCCTAATCCCCATCCCATTGCTCCCAGAGCCCAGTCCCAGCGGGCGCTCCCAATGCCCCGCAGCGCCCCCAGCGCACCGGGCCGGTACTGCAGCCGGAACCCCGTTAAGACGCCGTTCGGGTGCCGCGGCCGCTTCCACTCCAGGGCGAGGGTGGTCTCGTTGAGGCGCTCCACGTGCAGCTCCTCGGGGGGGCCCGGCACTGGGGGGCGGCAGCGTCAGGGACCCCCCCCCGCGGCGGGGAGAGTGGAAGAGCCCTGGGACAGCGGGGAGCCCAGATGGGGAGAGGGGGCTCTGGGGGTCCCCAGACGGGGCTGAGGGGTCCCAGGATGGAGTTAGGGGTCCCCTGGGGTATTTGGGGGTCCCCAGGCAGGGTTGAGGGGTCCCAGGATGCAGTTAGGGGTCCCCTGGGGTATTTGGGGGTCCCCAGGCAGGGTTGAGGGGTCCCAGGATGCAGTTAGGGGTCCCCTGGGGTATTTGGGGGTCCCCAGGCAGGGTTGAGGGGTCCCAGGATGCAGTTAGGGGTCCCCTGGGGTATTTGGGGGTCCCCAGGCAGGGTTGAGGGGTCCCAGGATGCAGTTAGGGGTCCCCTGGGGTATTTGGGGGTCCCCAGGCAGGGTTGAGGGGTCCCAGGATGCAGTTAGGGGTCCCCTGGGGTATTTGGGGGTCCCCAGGCAGGGTTGAGGGGTCCCAGGATGCAGTTAGGGGTCCCCTGGGGTATTTGGGGGTCCCCAGGCAGGGTTGAGGGGTCCCAGGATGCAGTTAGGGGTCCCCTGGGGTATTTGGGGGTCCCCAGGCAGGGTTGAGGGGTCCCAGGATGGAGTTAGGGGTCCCCTGGGGTATTTGGGGGTCCCCAGGCAGGGTTGAGGGGTCCCAGGATGGAGTTAGGGGTCCCCTGGGGTATTTGGGGGTCCCCAGGGAGGGTTGGGGCTCCCCAGGATAAAGGGTCCCCTGGACTATATAGGGGTCCCCAGGCAGGGTTGGGGGGCTCCAGAATGGACTTAGGGGCCCCAAGGGGGGATTTGGGGTCCCGGGGATGCACTTGGGGCCTCTCATCGGCACTTTGCGGGGGGGGGGTGTCCCATGGGGCAGCTCCGGGCACGGGGGGGGGCTCTCACCGCCCTCGGGGGTGTCGAAGTGGATCTCGTCGCTGGGGGGGCCGTCACCGCGGCCGTTGAACACCAGGACCCGCAGCCGGTACCGGCTCCAGGGCCGCAGCCCCCCCAGCACCACCCCGCGGGCCTCACCGGGCACCGCCAGCACCCGCGGCGGGGGGGAGGCGGCTCCGGGGGGCGCGGGGGGGGCCTGGCGCCGAGCGCGCTCCCCCACCCAGCCCTCGTGCCAGTACAGCACCTACGGGGGGGGGGCACAGACATCAGGTAATGGGGACCCCCCCAGCGCACCCCCAGCACCCCCAAACTGAGCCCCAGCACCCCCTCACCCGGAAGCCGCGGAGGTGGCCGCGCAGGTCGTGGAGGGGGCCCGGCAGGGTCCAGCGCACCCTCACGCTGGTGCTGTTCAGGATCTCGACCCCCACGTTTTCGGGGTACACCAACGGCACTGGGGGGGGGAGCAGTCACAAACACATCCACTAGCACCCCCCCATAGGGGCTATCGCCACAGGGGGGTCCCAATGGGGGACCATGGGGTGTGGAGGGGCCCCCACTCACGGTCCTCCCCCGAGTAGCCGATGGTAACGGCGGGCTCGGGGCCCTTCCCGAAGTCGTTGAGCGCCTGCACCCGGATCTCGTAGGGGCTGAACGTGGGGGTGCCCGCGACCACCACGGGGGGGCCCGGCACCGTCTCCTCGTGCCACCGGCCCCGCTCCGGCTCCCGGGGCCGCCACTGCACCCGGTACCGCACCTCCGCCGCGTTCCAGTCCCCCGGCGCCAGCGGCTGCGAGCAGGGCCTCAGCGCCCCCCCGCACCCCAAACACCCCCAACCCCCCTCCGCCCCAATACCCCCTGCACCCCAAATACCCCCAAACACCCCGCCCGCACTCCCAAACCTGCCCCAGATTCCCCAAACCTGCCACAACCAATGCGCAACCCCCCCAAATCCCACTAGCCCCCCCCAAACCTGCCTCAAAACCAATGGGAGCCCCCCAAAATCTGCCCCAGACCCCCCCAAACCTGCCCCAGACCCCCCCCAAACCTGCCACAACCAATGCGCAACCCCCCCAAATCCCACTAGCCCCCCCCAAACCTGCCGCAAAACCAATGGGAGCCCCAGACCCTCCCAAACCTGCCCCAGACTCCCCAAAACCCCACTGGGACCCCAAAACCCTCACCCCCCCCCCGGTACCTGCCAAGTGATGATCATGTTGCTGGTCTCATTCCCTTCACCTTTCACCCCCCCGGGGTTGCGCTCAGGGGCTGGGGGGGGGGGAAGCTCAGAGACCCCCAAAACCCCTTTCCTTCCCTCCCACCCACCCACTTTGGGTGGTCAATACCCACTGGGGATGGTATAGAGGTACAGGGACAGGTCTGGGGTGCCCCTGGGGGGGTTGGGGTCCCTTTGGGGGGCTCCTGCACCCCAGGAATGTTGGGGGGGGAAAGAGGTTTGGGGGTCACCCACCCGTGGGGGGGGCTGGGGTACTGGGAGGGGGGGTCACTCACCCGCGGGGGGGGTGGTGATGGGCTCACTGGGGGCACTGGGCTCCCCCCGCCCGTAGGCATTGGCAGCCAGCACACGGAAGCGGTACTGGCCATAGGGGGAGAGCGTGAGCTGGGCCCAGGGCTGCCCCCCCGGCACCGTCACTCGCTCCGCGAAGCGCCGGGCACCGAACAGCTCCTCCTTCTCCTCCACCACGAACTCTGGGGGGGGCACGGGAGGTTCAGGGGGGCTCCTGAGCCCCCCAAAACCATCCCGGACCCCCCAGGAACCCCCTCTTACTCTCTATGGGGCTGTTGTTGTCATCCCCCGGGGTCCAGCTCAGCCGGACCTGGCGCTCATCAACCTCCAGTACCTGCAGGTCCCGCACGGGGCCCGGCCGGCCTAGGGGGGAACTGGGGTTACTGGGGGGGGGACTGGGGCAGAATCACGTCAGGACCATGGGCAGAACGGAGGGGTTCCAGGGGCAGAACTGGGGGGGTACCAGGGGCAGGGTGTGGAGGGTACCATGGGCAGAACCGGGGGATACCATGGGTAGGACCAGGGTTGCACCATGGGCAAAATGGGAGGTTTTTGGGGTTTTGCAGTTTATGGAGTTTTGGGGGCCCCCCCCGGTGCAGGTGCTTCTCACCCACAACCCGGAGCTGTGCCTCGGCCTCAACCGCATCCAGCTGGGTCCAGGCGCGGCACCGGAATGTGCCCTGGTCCACGTAATCCACCGTGGTCACTGTCAGCGTGTCCCCACTCAGCACGTACCTGCGGGGCCGCCCCCATCAGCCACCATTGGGGACCCCCCCTCAGAGACCCCCAAGCCCCCCCCCCGTGTCCTCACTTGTCGCTATCGGCTGTGTCCTGGAGGCGCTGCCCATCCCGGTACCACGTGAGCCCCCGCGGTGACAGCCCCGGGTCGAAGCTGGCACCGCACCGGAACGTCACCGTCTGCCCCTTCTTTGCCGTCACGCTCTGGGGGGGGACCTCGATGCGTGTCGCCACTGACATGGGAGGGAAAGGGTTAACAGGGAAGGGGTTGGGGTGTCTATGAGACTCTTGGAGGCCCCAGGTATGGTCTGGGGTGCCTATGAGGCTCTTGGGGATCCCAGAAGAGACCTGGCTGGTGCTGGGGGACCATGGAAAAGATTTGGGGGGCCTAAAGGGGCTCAGGGGTCTGAGCATCCCCTGGTGGAACCCAGGAAGGATTTGGGGGTCCCGGAGGGGTGCGGGTACCTCTAACATCGAGGTGGGCGCTGACACTGTCGTTGCTGTGGGCATTGTGGGCCCTGCAGGTGAAGGTACCGGCATCCCCCAGCAGCACCGGGCCCAGGCGCAGGGTCCCATTGGTGAACACAAAGGCCCGGTCATCCTGCAGCGCTGGCTCCAGCCCTGGTGTCAGCCTTAGGTGGGGGAAAAGCGTTGAGGGGGGGCTTTAGGGGGGTCTGGAGGGGGTTTGGGGGTGTCGGGGGGGGTCTCACCACTCCACGGTGGGTGCAGGGGCCCCGAAGGTTCGGCAGTGCAGGAACACAGTCCGGTTCTCCACCACCGCGTATGGGGTCTCATCCGCTGTCAGGATCTTCACCGGCAGCTCTGGGAGGGGGAGGCAGGGATGGGAATGCGGAAGTGGGACCCCCCCAGACCCCCAAATCGCCCCCCAGACCTCCCACAGCTTCAAGGCAGCCCCATCCATCACCATAGCAACAGGTACCCCCTAGAGGGGTCCACCACTGCAGGGTTGCCATAGGAGCAGTGATTGATGAGGCAGGTTGCCATAGCAACCATCTCCAGGCTGTGTTGCCATGGTGACGGCCAGGTGAGGGACCCGTTGCTATGGTAATGGTTGGGGGGAACGACAGTCACCATGGGGCTGACTGCTAAGGGGTACCAGCGAAGGGTGTCATGGGGGGTGGTTGCTAGGGGGGACACGGTTGCCATGGAGATGGTTGCTGGGGTGGGGATGTGGTTGCTGGGGCAGGGAGGGGATTGGTTGCTGGGGGACCCCCATCTGTGGCCGGGGAACACCATCACACAGGGATGTGGTTGTCAAGGCAACGCCATCACCACAGGGACCAGTGCCAGGGAGGATGCAGTGGAGGGGGATGCCGTTGCCATGGCCACAGCTTCCAGGGCCAGCCTGTTGCTGCAGGGATGGGGGTACCCGGGGGAACCCCCTGGCTGGGGGAGGGCTGTGGAGGGTTTCGGTGGCCGGGACACCCCCCCATGTCACTACACCCCCCCAAAACACCCCTCACGCACCCACGACGTAGACAAAGGCGTTGGCCAAGAGGCGGCCGTGGCTGTTGTGGGCCTCGCACTGGGCCACCATCGTGTCGTTGGGCTCCAGTCGCGACAGCACCAGCGCCCCCTCCCGCACCACGCGGCGAGCAGAGCCCGGCACCTCTGCAACGGTGCAGTGAGGAACTCCACAGGGTCCCGGGACCCCCATACAGCCCCTGGGACCCCCCAACACCCCTGGGACACCCCCCCCATACCCCGCTACCTCCCAGGGACCCCACCACCGCCAGGGATCCCCCCACATTGCTCAAGGACCGCCCCCCACCTCCCTGATGATGGGGACCCCCGCACAACCTCCCCCTCTATGCAGCTACCCATCCCCGGGGACACCCTGTATTCTTTAAGGACCCCCTCACTGCCTCCCTGGGGACCCCCCCCGCCACCCCCTGCACATTAACCCCTCCCAGAGAGCCCCAGAAGGACCCCGACCCCCCCAGGAGCCCCCAGTCCCGTTCCCGTACCGTCAATGGGGACGCCGTTGATGCGCCAGGAGAGGAGGGGCCGGGGCTTGCCCTGAACGGCGCAGTCCAACCGCGCCGCCTCCCCCGGCCCGAACACGCCGCTCTGCGGCCGCCGCACCCAGTACGGGGCCGCTGCGGGGGCGAAGGGGGACGTCAGGAGCCCACACACACCCCCCAGTGCCTCCCAGTGCCCATGCTGGTGTCCCCCATTACCCACACACAACCTCCCAGTGCCTCCCAGTGCCCCCAGTTCCCATGCTGGTGTCCCACATTACCCACACACAACCCCCCAGTGCCTCCCAGTGACCCCAGTTCCCATGCTGGTGTCCCCCATTACCCCCAGCACACCCCCCAGTGGCCCCCGTTCTCACGCTGGTGGCCCCCATTACCCCCAGCACACCCCCCAGTGCCCCCAGTTCCCACGCTGGTGGCCCCCATTACCCCCAGCACACCCCCCAGTGCCCCCCGTTCCCATGCTGGTGGCCCCCATTACCCCCAGCACACCCCCCAGTGCCCCCAGTTCCCATGCTGGTGGCCCCCATTACCCCCAGCACACCCCCCAGTGCCCCCCGTTCCCACGCTGGTGGCCCCCTTTACCCCCAGCACACCCCCCAGTGGCCCCCAGTTCCCATGCTGGTTGCCCCCATTACCCCCAGCACACCCCCCAGTGCCCCCAGTTCCCATGCTGGTGGCCCCCATTACCCCCAGCACACCCCGCAGTGACTCCCACCAGCTCCCAGTCTCTCTGCTTGCTTCCCAGCGCCCCCCGTACCCTCCACGGTGACGAGGTGGCTGCGCCGCGCCTGGCCCTGGCTGTTCTCGGCCACGCACTCGTACTCGCCGTCGTCCGCCTCCTCCACGTCCCGCAGCCGCAGGGTCTTGTTGAAGTTCTCCAGCGAGACCCGGCCCAGCGGGAGGGGCCCGTTCAGCCGCTGCCACCGCACCGAGGGCGTGGGGCTGGGGGTCCCCGCGTCAGAGACGGGACAGAGACCCCCCCTCAGCATCCCCCGACACCCCCAAACCCCCTCCCAGACTCACAGCCCCTCCGCAATGCACTCCAGCACCAGCGTCCCCCCCCGCAGGGCGATGTGGGACGGCTGCGGGTCCCGCGGCACCACAAGCCGGGGGCGGCGGAACTGCACCATGTTACCTGAGGGGGGGAAAGGGGTTAGTGCGGAGGGTGGTCCCAGAGACCCCTCCCCAAGGCCTTAGTGCTCTCCCGTACTCCTAATGACCCCCCTATGCTGCAGGCATCCTCTATACACTTAGAGCCCCCCATCATGAGCCCCAAGACTCATCCCAAGGGTCCCCCATTCACCAAGAGACCCCCCATACTCACAAGGACTCCCCCCCAGAGGCCTTTTGGGGGGACCCCAAAGCAGGGGTGTTGGGGATCGATCCCAAAGTGTGTGTGGGAAAACACAGGGCAATTGTGTGGATGCTGCAGGGCTGCAGTGGGGTTTTGGGGGTGGGGGTGAAGGTGGAGACTTGGAGGGGGGGTAAAGGGTCTTTGGGGTCTCTGGGCCCCCCCTCACGTACTGGGGGCGACGCGGAGGTCGAGGGGCTCCTTCTGGATGATGGTGCGGGGGCCCAGGTAGTGCGCGTGGCAGATGTAGTCGGGGTGACTGTCCCCCACGAGCGCGTTGGCGAAGTACAGGAACCCGTCCTGGCCCATGCTGACCCGCGCGTCCTGCGCGATGTGCACGATGCCTGTGGGGACAGCGGGGGTCAGGGGGGGCCCCAACACCGGGGGAGAACCGGGACAATGGGGTGTGGGGTGCAGTAGAGCATTGGGATGTGATGGAGTGTGATGAGGGGGTAAAGAGGCATCAGGACCCAAGGGGGGATGTGGGGTGCTATGGGGTGACAGAAGGGTTAAAGGATGCAGGGGGGTCCCATGAGGTTGGGTGGTGCAGTGGTGTGTAGTGGGGGTGCCAAGGGGTTAAGGGGGTACAGGGTGATAAGAGGGTCTGATGGGGATGAGTGAGGGGGTAATGGGGTGGAGGGGGGTCCCATGGGGTTCAGTGGGTTCAATGGGGTGCATAGGGGCAGTATACAGGTGTAGTGTGGTGAGGGGATAAGGGGTGAAGGATGAGCCGCCCCCCCCCCCAGCCCTGCCCCATTGCTCACGGCTGTTGAGCCAGTAGATCTTGGGGGGCACAGCGCTCTTGGGGGGGTCACAGGGCAGCACCACGGGGTCCCCCTCCTCCACCTCCACTGGCAGCACCTTCTCCTTGGGCCACTGTGGCGTGTCTGGGGACCACAAGGGCTTGGGGGTGGGGCCAAACCAGGCAGGGACCCCCCAAAACCAGCCAGAGACCCCATGTGCCCCCCAAACCAGGGACCCCCAGTGAGCGCTCATGGGAGTTAATGGAGATGAGGCAGCTTTATGTTGACCCAGTGGGAACTGGGACCCTCAGGGGGTTCTGGGAGGGTTTAAGGGACCCTCACAAGGCTCTGGGGCACCCTGGGTAGATTTAGGGGACCCCAGAGCCAATTATGGGGAATTGAGGGGGTCTTTGGGGACCTCAGTGCAGGTTTTGAGTCACTGGGTGCAGGTTTAGATGCTGGGGGGCACTGGGATCAGCTCGGTGGGTGTTGGGGGCAGTGGGATCAGCCCCGGTGGGTGCTGGGGGCAGTGGGATCAGCCCAGGTGGGTGCTGGGGGCACTGGGATCAGCCCCAGTGGGTGCTGGGGGCACTGGGATGAGCCCCGGTGGGTGCTGGGGGCAGTGGGATGAGCTCGGGTGGGTGCAGGGGGCACTGGGATCAGCCCCGGTGGGTGCTGGGGGCACTGGGATGAGCTCGGGTGGGTGCTGGGGGCAGTGGGATCAGCCCCGGTGAGTGCTGGGGGCACTGGGATCAGCCCCAGTGGGTGCTGGGGTCTGCGGGATGAGCTCGGGTGGGTGCTGGGGGCACTGGGATGAGCCCCGGTGTGTGCTGGGGGCACTGGGATGAGCCCCGGTGGGTGCTGGGGGCACTGGGATGAGCTCGGGTGGGTGCTGGGGGCACTGGGATGAGCCCCGGTGTGTGCTGGGGGCACTGGGATGAGCCCCGGTGGGTGCTGGGGGCACTGGGATGAGCTCATGTGTGTGCTGGGGGCACTGGGATGAGCCCCGGTGGGTGCTGGGGGCACTGGGATGAGCTCGGGTGGGTGCTGGGGGCACTGGGATCAGCCCCGGTGGGTGCCGGGCCCCGCTCTCACTCTCAGCAATGACGCGGCTCTCGGTGGACAGCGCCGTGCCCAGCGCGTTGCTGGCGGCGCAGCGGTACCGGCCCTGCAGGCGCCCGGCCAGGCTGGCGTTGATGAGCAGCGTCCCGGAGCCCGGCGCCAGCGACACCCCGGGGTGCTCCTCGGGCACGAAGGGTTCGTCCTCCCGCGTCCAGCGGTACCTGCGGGCCCGGCTCCGTTACCGGGGGCCGCGGGGGGCACCGGCGGGGCGATGGGGAGGGGGGAGCCACACTCACTGGACCGGGGGGTTGCCGGTGGCCGCGCACTTGAGCACCACATCATCGCTGGGGAACACAACGAGCTGCTCCGGGGGCTGCTCCGTCAGCTCCGGGGGCTGCAGGACTGCGGGGGGGGGGGTGTCAGTGTGGTGGGGACACCCCATGGGGGCCCCCCGCAGAGGCAAGGACCCCATGGGGACCTCAGAGAGCCTCCCCCGGGTCCCCCAACCAGCGACTCCAGACCCCCCCCCACCCCCCCCCGGACTCACAGTCGTGCTGCCCGTCTGCACCATCCGGGGGAGCGGGGGGGGGGGAAGAAACACAGCAGTGAGCGGGGGGGGCACCCCCCCCCTCCAGGCGTGCAGGGCCCTTGTGAGCCCTCGTGAGCAGCTGTGATGGGGTGGGGGGCAAAGAGCGTGCAAAGGAAGGGTCCTCGTGCAAAGGTGCGGGCAGGCCTCGTGCAGGGGGGGTCCTCGTGCAGGGGGGGGTCCTCGTGCTCAAGAAGGGGGCGAGTGTGCGAGGAGGGGTCCTCGTGCAAAGGCGCGGGGTTCACTCGTGCGAGGGGTCCTTATGCCAAGGGGTGAGCGCGCAAGGAGGGGTCCTCGTGCAAGGGGGGGGGGGGTCATCGTGCCAGCCCCCCCCGCGCAACTCACACTCCTGGGGGATGGTGATGGCGGCTCCGGGCCCCCCCAGCAGCGGCAGCAGGAGCAGGATGAGGCTGAAGCCCCGGGGCAGCGCCATGGCCGGGGCGGGCGGCAGCCTGGGTGGGGGGACACACGACAAGACAGAACATACGGGGGGTGTGTGTTTGTGTATGGGGGGGGCAACACCAGGAGCCCACCCCCCCATCTCCATTGTGTAGCGGCCACTGCCTCCCCTCCCCCTCCCCCCCGGATGCGCCCGTTTCCATGACAACGGCTGATGAGGAACCTGTCACCTTGGCTCGGGACCCGCACGACCCCCCCCGGACCCCCCCTCTTTGCTGCCCCCCCACTCTCGCCTCCGCACCGCGGACAGCGCCGCCCCGCCCGGCTCTTCCCAGCAGCCCCCCCCCCCCCGGGCGGAAACGGGGGCGGCCCCGGCGGGAACAAGGCGCCGTTGTTGACCCCGAATTCCTTTGGGGGGGGTGGGGGGGCGATGGCCCCCCTTCCCCGGCCCCCCCCCCCCAGCGGCCCCTCCCCCCGCGGCCTCGGGACCTGCAGGTGGGGGGAGGGGCGGCGGCACCTGTAGGGAAATCACGGGGGGGGGAACCGGATACCCCCAGGACCCCCCCCCCGGTGTCCGGACACCGCCCCAGGGGAGGACGGGACGGGACAGGGGCGGTTCCATCGAGTGTGTGCTCCCCCCCCCGCCGGCCCCACCCATCTGTTGGATGCAGGCCGGGACCCCATAGAGACCCCACAGCACCCACCCACCCCTATAGGGAGGGCACAGACACCCTATAGAGCGCACCCAGCCCCATAGAGACCCCACAGCACCCACTTACTCCCATAGGGAGGGCACAGAGACCCTATAAAGTGCACCCAGCCCCATGGAGATGGCAGAGACCCTATGGACCTCCCACAGCGCCCACCCAGCCCCACTGACACTGCACAGAGACCTTATAGAGCCCACTCAGCCCCACAGGGATCCCACAGAGCCCCCAGTCCAGCCCTATAGGGACCCCATGGCCTCATGCACAACCCATTGCTTCAGCCCAGCCCTATAAACACCCTATAGACCCATCTGTACTCAACCCAGCCCCACAGATACCCTACAGAGCCACCTGTATCCCAGCCCAGCACCACAGACACCTGATAGAGCCACAGGTACCCCAGCCCAGGCCCACAGACACTCTATGGATCCACCTTTATTTCCATCTGGCCCTATAGAATTCCTATAGAACAGCTTTTGCCTCAGTTCTGACCCCACAGATGCTCTCTAGGACCGTATTTGTTTCAATCCCAGCCACATGAAGACACTATAAATCACATTTTCCTCACCCCAGCCCCATAGCCACCAACAGACCCACATTTACCTCAGCCTAGCCCCATATACACCCAACAGACCCACATTTACCCTAGCATTATGGAGCACCAACAGACCCACATTTACCTCAGCCTAGCCCCATATACACCCAACAGACCCACATTTACCTCAGCCTAGCCCCATATACACCCAACAGACCCACATTTACCTCAGTCCAGCCCCATATACACCCAACAGACCCACATTTACCTCAGCCTAGCCCCATATACACCCAACAGACCCACATTTACCTCAGTCCAGCCCCATATACACCCAACAGACCCACATTTACCTCAGCCTAGCCCCATATACACCCAACAGACCCACATTTACCTCAGTCCAGCCCCATATACACCCAACAGACCCACATTTACCTCAGCCCTATGGAGCATCAACAGACCCACATTTACCCCAGCCTAGCCCTATGGAGCATCAACAGATCCACATTTACCTCAGCCCAGCCCTATGGAGCACCGATAGATCCACCCTTCCCTCAGCCCAGCCCCATAAACATTCAATAGAACCACATTTACCTCAGCCCAACCTCATACAGACCTTAGGGATCCACCCTTCCCTCAGCCAAGCCCCCTATACACCCAATAGACCCACATTTACCTCAGCCCAGCCCTACGGAGCACCGACAGATCCACATTTACCTCAGCCCAGCCCTACGGAGCACCGATAGACCCACATTTACCTCAGCCCAGCCCTACGGAGCACCGACAGATCCACATTTACCTCAGCCCAGCCCTACGGAGCACCGATAGACCCACATTTACCTCAGCCCAGCCCTACGGAGCACCGATAGACCCACATTTACCTCAGCCCAGCCCTACGGAGCACCGATAGACCCACATTTACCTCAGCCCAGCCCTACGGAGCACCGATAGACCCACATTTACCTCAGTCCAGCCCTACGGAGCACCGATAGACCCACATTTACCTCAGCCCAGCCCCATAGCCACCCAATAGACCCACATTTACCTCAGCCCAGCCCCATAGCCACCCAATAGACCCACATTTACCTCAGCCCAGCCCTACGGAGCACCGATAGATCCGCCCTTACCTGAGCCCCGGCCCCGCGGCTCTTCCCGCAGCCGCGCCCCCCTCCCCGCCAGCCCCCGGTCGCTGTTCCCGTTGCCACCGCTCCCCCCCTCGGTACCTGCTCGCTCCGCTCCCAGCTCGGGGCTGCGGCTGCCGCGGGGCTGACATAATCCGCCCGCAGGCCCCGCCCCCTGCCCCGCCTGGCCCCGCCCCCGGCCTCACCCTGAGCCAGCCCCGTGTTGGGTGGGGCGCACCCTTGGGTGCCCCACGTGAAGGGGGGGGGCCCCCCATCCCATTCCCGGCAGTGACACCCAGGGAATGATGGGAACCCCCCCCGCGTGAGGACACAGGGGTGCAATGGGGGGACCCCCCCCGTGAGGTCAGACACTATGTCACTGATGACATCACCCCTGTCTAGAGCCGGGTGTGATGTCATCAGACAGCAGGCGCCGGTGGGGGGGCACAGACCCCATTACAGACACAGGAAGGAGGTGGTGGAGGGAGACCTTTATTGGGGAACAGCAGCGGGGACCCCCCGGACAGGAACCATGGGGCTGTGGAACGGAACCAGGACCCGGGTTGGTCACCGATGCTGGGCGCGCGCCTCCTGTGAGCGCAGCCAAAGCTCCTTGCAGCCAAGCCAAGCCTTTGCCGTAGTCATGGGCTCTGGGGAAGCCGAATCCCACCTCCCGATGGCTGCTGCCGCCTTCATCCCGTGCCTGTCCGGGGGGGTCCTTAAGAGCAAAGGGATCAGGGCCGGCAGCGATTCAGCCTTCACCCCACGCGTGGGTCTAGAGCCCTTCCCACGCAGCTCGCTGTCAGGCTGGCTCGAGCAGGCACGGCCACTCCGTGTCCCGTGCCCGGCTGCAGGAGCCCCTCATTGCTGGGGGCTCCACAGCCCCAGGAGCTCGGCTGCTCCTGCTCTGCCTTCACTCTGCTTAAAAACCCAATGCGAAGCCAAAGAGGAAGCGGCTGCAGCTGAAGCGAACCCTTTACATTGCTCAGCACAGGGGGATACCCCGAGACCCCCCATTCTGGGGGGGATAACAGCAACATTGCCCCCTCCACAACGGGGCCTCTCTGATGCTGAGAACACCCCCACCTCGATGGGTCCCCACCCCCCCATATTCAGACCCAGCCCCACCCCAATGTTTTTCACTGCTCAGCCCCATCCCCGTATTGATAGGGGTGCCCCATTTGGGGGGGTCAATGTTAGGGACACCCCATTCTCACCAGGACATGTGGGACCCCCGCGGGGGGGCACTGAGGGAGGGGCTATGCCTGGATGCTGCTCTTGGTGCTGAAAGCCAGGTAATAAACCAGGAGGCCGATGGTGGCCGCCACCACCTCGGTTGACACCCAGGGACCGTTCCATGCACCCTATAGAAACGTGGGGGGGTGGTGTCACTGCAGGTCCGCACCCCCCCAAAACCTAACCACCCCCAGTGCCCCATCAAACACCATCCTCAAAACACACCCCAAAACACCCTCCCCTTTAAGGTCACCCAAGCCCCCTCCAACACACCCAAATCACCCCAGTTTCAGCCCAAACACCCATGGACTCCCCCATATCCACAAGAAAACCCCCTTCACCAGCCGCACAGGACCCCCCCAACTCACCCTATGGTCCACATTGACAGTGAAGAGGGGCCGCACTCGGGACACATCCTCGTTGTTGCGCTGAGCCTAAAGGGGGGGGGGAGGAAAGGGGTTCAGAGCCGGTTTGGGGACACCCATCACCCCCCTATCTCCGGGGGGGGGCCATGGGGGGGTCCCCACCTTCCGCAGGGCGCTGTAGGACTCCTCATCGAAGAACTTCACCTCGTAGGTGCCCGACTGGGCGCTGCGGTGCTCCAGGCTCCACGACACCTATGGGGGGGGGGTGCAGTGAGCGCTGACCCCATAGACCCCCCCCCTAGCGCCCTATGGGGACCCCGGGTTCACCTGGTAGCGCCCCACATCCTGCCCGCGGGTGACGGGGAACTGCTTCCCGTTGACATCGGCGTAGAGAGCCACGTTCTGCGGGGGGGGAACGGGACCGGAGTGAGGAGGGGGCGAACCGGGAGCCCCTCCATTGACGCACATCGCGGGGGGGAGGGGGCCTCACCTGGGCGCCGTTCTTGCAGGCCAAAGAGATCTCCACCACGAAGACGCTCTCGGAAGAGATGACGGCGTCCGAGGTGGTGTAGTACGAGGGCACGATCGTGGGCTCCGGGCACGGCTCCGCTGCGGCGGGGGACAACGGGAGCCGGTGAGCACCGGGACCAGGACCGCCGGCACCGCCCCCGCAACCCCTCCATAGGGCCCCAGTGCACCGGGATCCCCCTCCGCCCCTTACAGGCCCAGGGACCCCCCCATAGGCTTCCGGTACCCCCGGACCTTCCCCCGTACCCGCGGCACCGAGCGCCAGCAGCAGCAGCACCGCCAGCACCGCCATGCCTACTATCCGCCCTCACGGTCGAGCCGCGGACCAATCAGCACCGCCCGCCACCGCCTCCCTACCAATCAGCGTCAGGGAGGCGGGCCGCCGAGAGCCCTGCGGCCAATGGGGAGCGAGCTTTAAGGTTCGCGGGTGCCTATACCGCGAGAGACGTGGCCCGAGCGCCGTGACGGGCGGGGCCGAGAGTTGCGCATGCGCGATGGCGCTGACTACCGGATAAAATGGGGGCTGCGACTTATGTGGTGCGGGAAAAGGCCGCGCCCCGGCGCATGCGCAGAGAGGCACCGTTGCGCGTTCCCATGGCAACAGCTACCGGCTTCGGGGCCGGCCTCTCTTGGACGTTTTTGCTCGGTTTTCACCCCAAAACGGGCTCGAAGCGGAGCCGCGGAGCCGGCTCCAAGCCCGGGTGCCACCGGCACAAAATGGCGGCCGCGACTTGTGTAGCGCTGCCGGCGGCATGAGGGAGGGCTCCGGGGTCTCGCAGGAAGTCTCGCGAGATTTCGTACCGCCACCGCCCTGTCGCTTGGCGGTGCCGAGGTCTCGCGAGAGCGGCTAGGCGGCATCAGCGATGGCGGCGGCGCTGCGGGCAGCGCGGCGGCTCCCGGTCCTTGTCCCAGTCCCGGTCCCGCGGTGGCCACGCCCGGTGAGTGCGGGGGGAGCCGCGGGGGGACGCACGGCGGGAAGGGCTCGGCCTCGCGGCGGGGGCCCGGGGGGGGGGAAGGGGGGGCGGTGGATGCTGCGCTCTGATTGGCCGGTTTGCGGATGGAGATGTGTGGGCGGAATGCGGCGGTCTGATTGGGCGGAACCGCGGCGATTGGCGGGCGTAACTGTCAAGCGGATTGGGTTCTGATTGGCTGCCGCTGTGGAGCTCTCCGTGGTGCTGAATGCTGATTGGCTGTGCCCTCAGTGAATGGGCGCGTAGGGGCAGCGGCTTCCGCACTGATTGGCTGATGTTTCTAGGGGAGGTTGGGCCATGTGCCTGACCTGGGGGGGTCCTGGGTCGCTGGGGGGGGCGAAAGCTCCCGGTTGTGACCTCTTAGTCCCCCCTCAGGCTTGGATTTCCCATGATGCTGAGCGGCGCCACCTCCCACCTGTAAGTGCCTTGTCTGGGGGGGGGACCGTGCCCACCCCCGGCCCCCCAGGGCCCTCTAACACTTGGGGTGGATCACAGAGACCTTGGGGTGCGCCCTTGTGGTGGGATGGAGGGGACCCTTCAAGGCCACCCTGTTCCCTTCTGGGGATGGGGTGGGTTTGGGGGCCCCCCTTTGGCCTCTCTGGGGCACAGCAAGGAGCTGTGACCCCTATTTTGGGGTGGGGGCTTCACTGAGGGGGCTCCGAGCGGCTCCTGCTGAGGTGCTCGGGGCCCACGGGGGGGGCTGCACGTTGTTCTTGCTGTGTGTGTGTTCTGGGGGGGCTCCGTTCCCCCCACATCCCCTCCCTGTGTGCCGGCACCGTGAATTAACTGCCCCCGTTTCTCCCGCACGCCACGGCCGCCTGCCCCCGCAGCAGCCCAGCATCGTGAGTATGGCCAGAACAGGGTGGGGGGGACCCCAAGAGCATGGAGGGGGGGTGTGCATGCATGCATGGGTCTGCATGAGGGGGGGTTCTCCAGGCAGAGGACTGGGGGGAGATGTGGCGGTAAAGAGGAGGGGGTCATGGGGACTGGGACACCTGGGTCCTCACGCCCCGGTGTCCCCACAGCCGCCCCCTGCCAAGTACGGCGGCCGCCACACAGTGACTCTGATCCCGGGCGATGGCATCGGCCCTGAACTGATGCTTCACGTCAAGGAAGTCTTCAGGTGGGTGCCCCCCCCTTTCCCGTCCTCCCCCCATGGAGGAGACAGGTGTCATGGCTGCCGCTGCCCCCAGGCACACCTGTGTGCCCGTGGACTTCGAGGAGGTGCGTGTGGGCGCGGAGGCGCCGGAGGCCGACGTGCACAACGCCATCATGGCCATCCGCCGCAACGGCGTCGCCATCAAGGGTGAGTGTGAGGTTGGGGATCCCCCCCCCAGCACCTCTGGGGACCTCCTGACCCCCGGCTCCATCCCCTCCCCAGGGAACATTGAGACCAACCACAACCTCCCGCCCAGCCACAAGTCCCGGAACAACCTCATTCGGTGAGAGCTGAGGGATGCGGGGGGGTGTTGGGGGGGGGGAACCACGGAGCCTGACCCGGGTGTTGTGGTGGGGCAGGACCAGCCTGGACCTTTACGCCAACGTGATCCACTGCCAGAGCCTGCCCGGGGTGGAGACGCGGCACCGGGACATAGACATCCTCATCGTGCGGGAGAACACTGAGGGCGAGTACAGCAGCCTGGAGCACGAGGTGACTCCAGCCCCATGGGGGCACTGCCATGGCCGCACCCCCATGGCTCTGAACACGCCCATCTCTAGCCAAGCCCCCCTCAGCCCCCTTAGGCTCTGCCTTCCGCCCCCGAAGCCCCATCCCCCTGTCCTGATGCCCCCTCCTCCGCCGCAGAGCGTGGCCGGGGTGGTGGAGAGCCTCAAGATCATCACTGCCGGGCGCTCGCGCCGCATCGCTCACTACGCCTTTGGCCTGGCCCGCGCCGCCAAGCGCCGCTCCGTCACCGCCGTGCACAAGGCCAACATCATGTACGTGTGTGGGGATGGGGGGCAAAGGGGGGCTCTGGAGCCCATTGAACCCATCCCATCCACAGGAAGCTGGGGGACGGGCTCTTCCTGCAGTGCTGCAAGGAGGTAGCGGCAGAATACCCAGAGATCAGCTTCCAGAGCATGATCGTGGACAACACCACCATGCAGGTAGGACTCTGCTCCCACTGCCCCCTGCGCTGCCTCCAGTGCCCCCCCCAACGCTGACTGCTCTGCTCCCCCCCCCCAGCTGGTGTCGCGCCCGCAGCAGTTCGACGTGATGGTGATGCCCAACCTCTATGGGAACATCGTCAATAACGTCTGCGCGGGGCTCGTGGGAGGCCCTGGCCTCGTCCCTGGGGCCAACTATGGGCACGACTACGCTGTGTTCGAGACTGTGGGTCATGGGGGCAATGGGGGGAGGCCCTGGTGGGAGGTGAGTGGGGGTCTGCCCCTCAACCCCCATTATCCCATTGCCCGCAGGCGACGCGGAACACGGGCAAGAGCATCGCCAACCGCAACATCGCCAACCCCACGGCGGCGCTGCTCGCTGCCTGCATGATGCTGGACCACCTCAGGTGGGCGGGGCTTCGACTGCGGGGGGCTACTGGGGCATGTGTTTGGGGGCGTGGCTTCCTGATGGGGGCGTGGCACCCTTTCAGGCTGCACAGCTATGCCACTGCTATCCGCCAGGCCGTACTCGCCTCATTGGACGATCCACGGGTAAGCCCCACCCTCCCCCACCAATCCCCGCCCTCGCGTTGGTGTGGCAGCACCACCAAGCCCCGCCCATCGCCTGGCTCCGCCCCCAGACGCACACTCCCGACATCGGGGGACAGGGCACAACCTCGGGTGCCGTCCAGAGCATCATCTCCCACCTCTCCCGCGCCTGATTGGTTGAGCAGGACCACGCCCACACCACGAGACCACACCCCTAATAAACCCCCTTGGAGCTGCCTTCCCGCACGTTTATTGGCTGCGGGGCGGGGCTGTGGGCGGGGCTAGGAGCAGAGCCAGGGGTGGCGCAGGCACTGGGCAGCCGTGGCGCGCCGCGCCGGCTCGAAGGCCAGCATGGGCCGCAGGAAGCGGGCGAAGGCGGCGGCCGCCCCCCGGGACCACTCGTACTTCTCCTGCAGCACCGCCCGCAGCCCCCAGGGCCGCAGGTGCCGGATGTGCCGCAGCTCCCCTGGGGAGGGGGGGGCCGGAGCGTCAGGGCCGTGGGCATCGCCGTAGCCCCCCCTGCTCCATGAGGCTCCCCAGCCCCGCCCCGCGCGATTGGCAACACCCTCAAGGCCCCGCCCCTAACGGTCCCTCCGTCTTTAGCTCCTCCCCTACCCTAACCCTGTTTCTTAGCTCCGCCTCCTCGCTTAGCCCCTCCCAGACACTTTAGCCCCGCCCCTGGTCCCACCCTTCCCTCTGTAGCCCCTTCCACCCTCCTTGGGCCCGCCCCTCACCGCGCCGGTTGAAGAACTCGCGGGAGAAGCGCCCCCCCAGCGCCACGTGACGCGGGATCTCCCCCAGCAGCTCGATCACGTGGGCAATGTGGTCTGGTGGGGAGAAGGGGGTTGGAGCTCCGCCCACTACATTCAGCCACACCCCCAGAGGCCCCGCCCCTTCTCCAGGCCCCGCCTACCCTCGTCCCTGCTGTAGTCCTCCCCTGAATGGGGCTCGAACAGGTAGTCCCCTGTGGCCAGCTCGAAGGCCTGGGGGGGACAAAGCGGGGTTGTGAGGGGCTGTGGGGCCTGCTATGGGGCAGGCCATGGGGCAGGGCTCCTCACCATGCAGGCGGTGCTCCAGATGTCAGCGGGGGGCCCATAGCCGGCCCCCAGTAGCACCTCCAGCGCCCGGTACTGCCGCGTCTGGATGTCCTCGGTGAAGTGGCGGTGCTGGAGGGGGCCGCAGTTCACCCCTTACCCACAGGGCCCCCCCCTGCCCACCCCAGCTCTTCCCAAGGTGCCCCTAAACAAATGGGGGGGCACCCAGTCCCCCCTCCCACTGACCCCCATTGCCCCCTCACCACCCAGCAGCCGTTGCCCAGGTCAGCAATCTTGATGCGCAGCCGGGGGGCGCAGCGGGGGTCCAGGGGGTTCTCCTGCCCCCCCAGGAGCCCCCCACCTGCGGGGTAGCAGCAGGGACATCAGCGGGGGCACCTCAAGAGCCCCTTGACCCCCATTGATGCCCCCCAAGACCCCAATATCCACCCCTACCTCCCCCCCATGTACCCTTCGGTGCCCCTACATTCCCACCCCCCCTCCACTCTACTCACCAAGGGGGGCGGGGGGCCCCCCCGAGCCCCCCGAGATGAGGGAGCTGGATGTGGGGGTGAGGAGGGAGTCGGAAGCAGAGCTGGGGCTGGGGGGGCGCCGGGCCAGGGGCCCCCCCGAGGTGCAGGAGCCCCCCGAGAGGCCGTCGCTGGAGCCGCCGGCCGGGAGCGTGTGAACCCCTGAGGAGGAGGCGCCGCTGGGGGGGCTGCCCCCCCCCTCCTCGTGGTCCGGGGCTGCAGCTTCTGTAGGGGGTGGTGGGAGAGAGACCCCTGAGGCTCCCCCCAAACCTAATGGGGAATGAGGGGTCCCCATACCCCCCCCCCCATAATGGCCTCATGGAGCAAACGCCAGCGACACCCTCAGACCCTCACGGAGCCCCCCCCATAGCTCCCCAGGGAGGCCCAAACCGTTCTATGGGGCTCTCCCCCCCGCACTGACCGCTCTCACCGCCGCCCCCTGGCGACGCTCCCGGCTCCCGCAGCCGCTCCAGGTCCTGCAGGCACTGGGCCAGGCGCTGGCCCTGCCGCCGCCGCTGCCGCCGCCGCCGGCGCCGCTGGGCCCGGGAGAGGCGCTCCTGGGGCGGGGATGCGCGGGGAGCACCCGTGTGCAAGGAGCAGTGAGAGGGGTGCAGGGGGGGCACCCGTGTGCAAGGAGCAGTGAGAGGGGTGCAGGGGGGGCACCCGTGTGCAAGGAGCAGTGAGAGGGGTGCATGGGGCACACGCGTGTGCAAGGAGCAGTGTGAGGGGTATGCAGGGCACACGTATGTGACACTCACGGGTCCATCCTGTGGTGCGGAGCTCACTGCAAAGAGTACCGGCGGGGGGGGTGTCAGTGTCAGAGGGGTCCCCCATGGCCAACCCATTGCACCGGAGGGGGTTTGGGGGTACCTGCGCTTTGGGGAGCCTCCCCCCCACGGGCCCATCGCGCCGCCTCGGCCGCCAGCTGCCTCACGAAGGGCTCCCCCACTCGCAGCAGCACATTCTCAGGCTTGATGTCGGTGTGGATGATGTTGCACTTGGTGTGGAGATAGTCCAAGCCCTCCAGCACCTGCGCCCCAACACAATGGGGGTCCCCACGGGGCTCGAGGGGGGGGGTGGGGTCCCCACCTGGGTCTGGGGATGTGGGGGGATGTAAAGGGGATTTGAGGGGGACATACGGGGAGAAATGGGGGGGATAAGGGGTGATGTGGGACCCCCTCACCTGCCTCACAATGCTCTTGACGCAGGGCAGGGGCAGCCCCTGGTAGTTGGATTTGATGATCCAGCGCAGGAGCTGGTGGCCCAGGACCTCCAGCACCATGCACACGTCTTGGAGGGGGGTCAAGGAGTGTGTGGCTGCCTGAGACCCCCCCCATGGGGTGAACACTGGGGGTGTCCTCCCCTAACCCCCCCCCCAGCAGGATACGGACACCGTTGACCCCCGAGATCTTGAAGTCATCGATGAGCTGCACAATGTTCTCCCTCTTCGGGTCACTGGGGTCCGAGTCACGGACCTGGGGGGGCAATGGGGGAGGTGGATGGACCCGGGGGGGGGTCTGAGGGTCCCATTTGGGGGTCCCGGCCTCACTCACACATTTGAGCAGCTTGATCTCATCCAGCGCCGTCTCCGTGTACTGTGGCGCGCTCTTCACCACCTTCAGTGCCACGAACCGCTTGCGCCTATGGGGGGGGGGGACAGAGGGATTGAGGGGACTCCCCCTTAACACGCCCCCCTTTGGGGGTTCCCCCCTTTGGGCACTCACCGGACGTCCCAGCAGAGCCACACGGTGGAGAAGTGCCCCCACCCCAACTTCCGTACCACGTGGTAGCGCCCATTGAAGAGGTCCCCGATGCGCACGGGGTAATACCCACCTATGGGGGGTTATGGGGGGGGTTGATCACCTTGGGTGCTGTCCCCCTAAGCACCCTTCCCCCGCATGGGGCACCTCCACCTTTGCAGTAATCACGGGGGTCCTCCTGCTCCCCTTCATCCAAGCCCAGCAACCCCTCAGAGAGCAGGGGCAGGGGGTGGGGGGGCTCCGGTGATGCGTCCTCAGGGGGGGTCGGGGTCCTGGAGGGGGGAAGCACAACAGGAACCCAAACTCCAGCTCCCTGCATCCCTCCCCCGGGGTCTCCTCAGTGGTCTCCCCCATGCTGGAGGGGGGGGAGGGGGGGGCACAGGGTGATACCACAGTGGGAATGGGGGGAACGGCCCACGCTGCAGCCGGGGGGTGGGGGGGGGAGGAATGAGGCCTCCTGGGACATCACCCCCTCAAAATAGAACTGACCTCAGGGCCGCGCGGTTAAAAATAGCCACGGCGGGGGGAGGGGTGGCCCCGGATCGTGCCCCCCCCCCCAGTGGGCCTTTGATGTCTCCCGTGTGCCCCCCCCGGGACACAGAGACCCCCCCCAATAGCTGGCTGTCACTGAGGGTCACAGACGGCTGTGGGGGTGTCGGGATCTGCTGCCCCCCACCCCCCGAACCCCGCACCCCCCCTCACCGTGGCACCGGTTTCCGCTTCTTGTCCTTTTTGCGCTTTTTTTTCCTCTTCTCTGGATGGGGGGGGGGGGCATGATCAGCGCCCCCCCCCCCCAACAGCCCCACAATGACCCCGTGTTCCCTCCTCCGCGGCCCCAGGAGCCACCTTCTCTCATCAGAGCCCCCCCGAATGCGGCCCCCATGTGCCAGAACCCCCCCTTCCCCTCCCCCCCTCAATAACCCCACGACCCCCTTTTACCCCCCCCTCCGCCCCCCCATTGCTCCTCATGACTCCCCCCAGTCCCAAGACTCCACTTTCCCCCCAGGACCCCCCCTGAGACTCGCCCCCCCCCCAACCACCCCCAACCCCCCTCATGATCCCCTCACCCCCCCCCCCCCCTTCCCGTTATCCCCAGCTCCCCACCGGTCCTCGCGCCCGTCGCCGCCCCCCCGCGCAGCTCCATGCCGCTCTCGCCCGCTCTGCTCGTGCCTCTGCGCCTCCACGCCCCGCTAACGGTGGCCCCGCCCACTGACCAATAGGAAGCCACACCCGGACCCGAGGCCACGCCCCTTTTCCCGTCCACCGGTCGCCATGGAGACGGCACCGCGCAGGACCTGGCGCCCTTACCTCGTTCTTCTCGGCGCCTCAATGGGATTGGAAACGACTTTTAACGGCACCGAATCTCCATCCAACCCCCAACCCGGCTCTTTACGGCGCCTATCGCCGCCCTACAGCGACCCCCGGAGCCCGGCCTCCGCCTCCCGGCCCCCTGGGCCCCGAACCGGCGGCGCTGAGCGCGGGCCGGGAGCTGACGGGAGCCTCAGCAGGACCTGGCCTCCCACCGTCCTCGCGCTCCGGAAGTGACGCTTCCGCCTGCGCTCTCGCTTCACCCCGATTGGCTCCCGCCGCCATGACACAATCAGAGCGCGACGTGTAACCATGGCAATGGCGCCGTAAACACCCGATGGGAGTGGGACACCCCAAGGCTAGCCCCAAGGCAAAAGAAGGGGGTGAGGAGGCCCAAAACACCCCGGGGGGTAAAGGGCATCACCCCTATGGAAGCACCCCGCAAAGGGGCTGGAAGGAGCCAGCACCGACTCCCCCCAAGCCCCTGGACACCCCCCCAACCCACCCCCCCCGCGCGCTGGGGAAGAGGCAGAGACAGGGTCGGGGGGGCTGCTGGGCATCAGTTTAATAACAGGGCGCAATGGGGGAGGGGGAGCAGCACCCCTATCCCCACAGCCTCCCCCTCCCCTGGGGCTGGGGGGGGAGCACGGGATGCTCTGGGAGGAGGCGGGGGGGGGACAGAGATGGGGACCCCCCCCCCCACAGCAAAAGCCCATTGGGAAAGAAAGGGGAGACCCTAAACCAATAGGACTCCCCCCACCCCATTCCATCCCCCCACCTTCCTTCCAGCTCTAATATGGGGGGGCGACTTCCGTCCCCCCCACTTCAGCAGAGCCAAGGCTCATCCCGCGGCGTCCAGCGCTGTGTCCCCCTCCCTGGTGGAAAGGGGGGGGGAGGTTGTTGTCTGTGTGACCCCCCCACAGTAAAACGCCTCCCCCCCACCTAGAGGTCCCTTGGGGGGGGGGCAGGGGGGTTGGGGATGCAGTCCGGGGGTTCAATATCAACTCTTGTCGGTGGGGGGGTCTCTGTGGCGGGAGGTCTTCATGGTCTCCAGGTACTCCTGCTGGGATACAGCAAGTACTGACGCCAGGATCTCGTCGTCCTCCCAGTCGTTGAGGCCTGGGGGGGGTGTATATAGGTTACTATGGGGGACACACACACAGCACGACCCCCCCCCCCCGGGCATTGTCCCCAGAGTGGTAATGGGAGGGGGGGGGCAGAGCTTGGTACCCCCAAAGTGAAAAAAGAGGCTCTGAGGCATCTTCCCGCTCTCCAAAGTGCAGCAAATGAGGGTAAATCCCCACCTAAAAAGAGTTTCTCCCCCTGCAAAAATCCACAGTTGAACCCCCAAAAGCACACTTTGACCACCCCCAAACCACAACCCCCACAAAGTGAGATGTACCCCAGTAAAGAAATCTCTAGACACCCCTAAGCCTAAAGCACCTCCCAGTAAGAACATCTACTGCCCTGTAACTGCAACTTCCCCCCCAGTTTGGGTGCCCCCAGCTCACCGAAGGCAGTGGGGGACATCTGCTGCATAATGGCGCGGCATTCCAGCGCGGGATACAGGGACACCAGCGGGGGGGTGGCCCTGCCCCCCCCCGCCCCCAGCTGGCTGCTGGTCCCTGGAGCATGGGGAGAAAGGGTCAGACACCAGCCCCAGGACCCCCACCCCATAGAGCCCCAGCACCCCCTGGTGAGGTCCCAGTTTGAGATGCCGAGCACCCAGTTTAGGCTGCCTAGCAGAGCTCAGCACCAAATTTGAGCCCCCCAACACATTCTAGCACCCAGTTTGAGTCCACCAGCACCCCACAGTACCCACGTTGGGCTCCCTAGCACCTCTTAGCACCCAGTTTGAGTCCCCCAGGACCCCACAGCACCCTAGAGTGCCGGCTTTGAGACCCACCTGGGGCACAGGGCGATGGGGGTTTGCCAGCAGGGGGTGCTCCGGGTGAAGGGGGCTTGGGGCCGGGCGCCTCGGGGTGCAGACCGGGGTGCTCAGGCGATGGGGCTGCGCTGCGCGGCCGGGGCGAGCGCCCGCTCCACTCCTCCAGGCCGCTGGCGGCCGCTGCCGTGGCCGAGCTGCACGTGGCGCTGGCCTTGCGGGGCTGCGGGGACACGGGCACGCATGAGACCTCCCATGCAGTGATGGGGGCGCATGGGGGGCTAGCAGGGACACCCACCTGGCGCGCCTGCTTCTCCTGGTCGCGCAGCCACTGCAGGTAGGACTCGCGGGCCACTTGCTCCTCGATGGCCTCGTTGGTGGCCTCCCAGTCCGTTGCCCGCTTCTTGTCCTCCAGCATCTGCTGCTCGATCCACGACTCCTCCGAGGTCTTGATGGCGCTCTTCATCAGGGACTGCTCTGCCAGCTGGGGGCGGGGCCACGATGGGGCACGCCTCCTGGCAGAGGCCACGCCCCCAGCTCCACCCCATGCACGCTCTACAGCCTTAAGCCCCCTTGCGCGCACCATCAAACTAAACCACACCCCCTTTGCATATGGCCTAGTCACTCCCTCCATGCAGGTGCAGGGGTGGGGCCCTGATTGACCACGCCCACACGTTTAGACCACGCCCATTTGACACCCTGCCCCCCACCAAATAAGGCCGGTTCCACGCGGCCACACCCACACGGGGGGGGGGGGGGCCGCAGGACCCATAGAGCACCCCTGCCCCATGGCAATGGGGGGCCTGGGTGATCCCTGGCTTGAAGGAGGAGACCCCCCCACCCCATCACACCGAGGTCCCAGTTCCCCCGGCTCCACTGACCCCTGGTTTGAAGGAGGGCAGCCCCAGCCCCACGCCAATGGTGGCCTTGTTGGGGTTGACGACGGAGTTGTAGTGGATGTTGCGGTGGTAACTGACCCGGATGGGCTCGTCCTCGTTGTGCTGAATCCCGTGGAAGGTGTTGATGGGCTCTGTGGGGCACCCCATCAGCACATGGACACCCCAGCCGCACAGGGGCACCCCCACACCACCCTTGGGGACCCCTTGGCCTGTGGGGCCCACTCCCTAGCAGTAGGGCCATCCCCAATCACCTGAGGCCCCTCTAGCAGCACCCTGGGGACCCCACATAAGCCCCATTGGGGCCACACGAGAACACTGCATCTCCCTATGACCCCACAAGTTCCCCCCGTTATACCTTGAGGACCACAGAGACACCCCAGGAAGCCCCCCGGCCCCCCCATCCTCACTCCATCTATTCATAAAGCACCTTGGGACCCCCAGGACACCCCAAGGCCACCCTGGAGAAGCCCAGGAGCACCCTCCCAGCTCCTCATGGACCCCGGTGCCCACTGTCCGCAGGGCCCCGTGGGGCAGACGCACCAGTGCCGTACTGGTAGACCTCGACGGGGCGGTTGTACATCTCGGCCATGGCCTGCATCTCAATGTGGTTACCATGGCACGTGCTCTTGCGCTTGCGATTGATGTAGGTGGTGAAATCCTCTGTCACGTAGTTGGAGAAGTAGTCGGCGTTCTTCATCTACCCAAAAGGGAGGACACGGGGAGGGTCAGGGAACAGCAAGGGACTTGTGGGGCAGCCCCATGGCGGCAAAGGGACACTGGGAGGGGGTGGTGTGGAGCATGAGGTTATCCTGAGCCAGTGGGGGAGCCCTGGGGCCATCAGGGACATTGGGAAGCACTAAAGAGGAAGGGAGCAGAGCAGCCCAACTGCCTCCCGGTGCTCCCTGCACCATCCCAGTGCCCCCCAGTACCCCTCAATCCCTTCCTGTTCTCCCCAGTATATCCTCACACACTCAAGAGCCCCTCACCAGATAGTCCATGCAGTGCTTGCGCACCACCTCGTGCATGTCCTGGTCTCCGTAGACCTGATCGGCTGATGGGGGCACAAAGGGGGCGGCATCAGCTGCTGCCCACAGCAGCAGGGTGCAAAAGGAGGAGAGGGAACGCATGGGGACGGGGGGCGCGGGGCTCACCCACGGCCCGGAACAAGCAGGCTCCATCCTCCTTCATGCGCTTGATGATGAAGCCTTTCTTCTCCCGTAGTGCCTTCTCGAACCGGTGCTCCTGCTGGAGACAGAGCCGGGCTCGGTGCCGGGGCACCACGGACCCCCCGGGGGCACAGGGAAGCCTTCAATGCATGACGAGGATGGGGAGGAGGGAGGCACATGGACCCTGGGGAGCCCCAATCACCCCCTGCTGTCCCCGACCCCTTCAGCCCCCCCCCGGTGCCCCCCGCACCTGCTCGGCCGTGGCCGGGTCCAGCTCCACCCTCCCGGCCTCGTACTCGTCTTCGCTGTTGTAACCGCCTCCCGCCTCGTCGGGACCGGGGCTGCCACCGGGGCCCAAGCCCAGCGCCAGCCCCACGGGGCCGCCGCAGCCGGGGCCTCCTCCGCCAGGCCCCGCGCTGGGGCCGGCCCCTCCTCGCCGCCGCCTCTTGCTGTGCCCGGGGCCGCCTCCTCCGCCGCCGCCGCCGGGCCCGCGGGGCTCGGGCAGCCCCAGCGCGGCCGCGTCCAACCCGAGCAGCGCCGCGGGGCCATCCCCAGGGCCGGGGCCGCCTCCAACGGGGCCTCCGGGGCCGGCGGGAGGGGGGGATCCGGCGGCGGGAAGCCCGGCCCAGCCCCGCAGCGGCGGGGGCGGCGAGGCCCGGGGCCGCGGCCCCCCCACCCCGCCAGGGCCTCCGGGCTCGCCAACGCCGCCGGGGCCGCGCTCGGGGCCTCCGTCCGCACCGCGCTCGGGGCCGGCGTCCGGGCCCGAATCAGCGTCTCCGTCGGGCGCAGGAACCGGCTTCTTCTTCGGGAGGATCGTCATGGCGGGGCGCGCATGGGGGGGGGGCTCGGACCCCCCCGGGGCGGCGGCGCGCGCGGAGCGGTCGGGGCGCGGGGCGCAGCCGCCACCGGGCCCGTGTCAACATCAACAGCGACGCCCTCTGACCCCGCGCCGCGCTTCCGCCTCGCCCGCCGTTCGGGCTCCCATTGGCTGAAGCCGCCACCACCGCGTTCTCATTGGTTGGAAGCCGGGGAGGAAGTCCCGCCCGACTGGAGAATGGAGAGGAGAGCGGAGGGGGAAAGAGGCGGGACAGGCGTTGCCCTGGAGACGGCGCGGCTGCGTGAGGATTGGGTTAGGGGAGCAGAGGGGGAGGGACGAGGAGGGGAGGGAGTGAGTGCTGATTGGGTGGAGCTCTGGGAGGTGGAGGGGGGGTCAACGAGAGCGGGCTCTGATTGGCCTGCGGAATAAGAGGCGTGGCTTAAGGGAGAGGACGGGCGACGGTTGGCTCCCTGCGGAGGCGGGAGTTGGTGAAGGACAGGGTGCTGATTGGGCGGTGCCGCCGGTGGAGCTAACGCTGATTGGGCAACGGGGGGAAGGCGGGACTCGAGGGCAGAGCAGGCTCTCATTGGCTGCCGCGCCACCAATTTCAACACACTAGTGATAGGTGGGATTAGTGTGAAGCTCCCAACGCCGATTGGTCTGAGGGAGGGTTAACCCTCCCATTGGCCACATCAGGCGACCTAATTTCCCACTGGCTGAGGAGCGCCAGAGCCGAAGGACACGCCCTCTCCACTGGCTCCGCCCAATCAAATGTCAGTCTCCATCAGGCCACGCCCCCGGTCCCACCACACCTCTCTGCAGAGACCCGGGGCTCCAATCTCAGTTCCTTTATTAACACCCATCGCACAGCCGCAATTATTGGGGGAGCCCCCCAGGGGGGACCCAGGGGTCTGGCCCCACATCCCTGAGCTCATGGGGGGCCCAACACAAGCCACAGGACACCCCTGAAGTCCCTGGAGGATGCCAACACCCCATCCCCCAGTGCTGCCCCATGGGGGGGGGATCTGGCACCCAGGTGTTGTAGAGGGGACCCTTTGGCAGCCATGCTCAGTGGCTCTTGTGACGGGGCCGGTCGAGGGCTCTCTGCGCAGCAGCGAGGTGGCGGCAGGAGTCGGCCAGGAGGGCACAGGGCACCAGCACCCACACCCCGTTCAGTCCCACGAAGTAGCCCCAGAAGTAGAAGGGCCGGGGATCACTGTGGCTCCAGCCAGCCAGCGCCTCCGTGGCAAAGTACAGCACGTCGCCATAGAGCTGCCCTGTGTGTGGGAGGGAGACGCGGTTGGGGATAGGAGGGTGGCTCTTGGGACATGGGGGGGGTGGTCCTGGGCGTACCAAGGGAGACAAGGAGCTGCAGGATGTAGCGGGCCGGGTGGCGGCGCAGGAGGGCGAGGAAGGTGAGGAAGCTGAGGGGTCCCCAGGCCCAGGCTGTCACTGTCTCCATGGCAACCGTGAAGTCATCGCTCCTGGAAGGAGGGAACAGACAGAGCAGGATGAGCCGGCCCCCACGGACACCCCCTCCCCACCCAGCCCCTGCCCCTACTCACGTCATGTACCGGCTGTCAGCTTTGGCATACTCCTTCCCTGCGGGCAGTGTGGGGTTAGTGCGTCCCACACCCCTCCAGGACCCCCAACCCCATCCCATGGCCAGGGAACCCCATACCCATACATTGATCCCCCCAAAGGGCACCCAGCCCCGGATCCCCCCCCATTGCCGTGCCCCGTCCCGGTGCTCACAGACGTCGGCCAGCAGCCCGGTGGTGCGGGGCAGGTCCCGGTGCCGGAAGCTGAAGAACCCCTCGAGCACTCCATGGATCCCGGTGCACATGAGGAACCAGCCCAGCGCCAGGCGGTGGGCGAGGCTCCGAGAAGCCCCGCCCCTCGCCCCGCCCAGCAGCCAACCAAGCGCCAGCAGCCCCGCCGCGGCCACGCCCACCAAGCCCGCGCACTGCCATCCAGGGAGCTCAGCGGCGACGTAACCCGGCAACGGCAGCGAGCGTGGCCAATAGGGGTGCGCCGTCGTTGTCGTCATGGCAACACCGCGCCGGTCACCGGTGCGCTGGGAAGGGAAGGCGGAAGTCGGGTGTGGGAGCGGGAACCGGCACCGCACCGCCCAGCACCGGCCCGGTCTTCTCCCCGCACGCCCCCACTGGCCCCAGCACCGGCCCGGTCCCTCCAGCGCCGCTCCAGTGGCCCCCACGCCGCGGCCCCGACTCACGCGTGCTCCCGCCCTCACCTCAGCCGCTCCGCGCCGCTCTCCGCCAGACCCGCTGCGCTCCGCTCCCTCCGCCGCGCCCGCACCGCCCCCAGCCAATGGCAGCTCGCTGCAGCCGGCCTGGCCAATAGCGGCGAGCACCGCCCGCGGCCTCTGCCCTCTGATTGGCTAACCCCTCTGCTGGGGAGATGTGGGGCCAGGGGGAGGAGTGGGATTGGTGATAGGGCGGTGCTTAGTTTAGGGGAGGGGTTCAGCGGGGAGGCGTGGGCTTCGCTCCGGGGGCGGGGCTTATGTCCATAGAGGCTCTCCCCATGCTCTCTATAGGACCTGGCCGCTGCCCGCTCTATAGGGCCCTGCGGCCCCCCATTGGAGTCTATAGGCTCCCTCCCATGGGCCCTATAGACCTCCCCTTGGCTGTACAGGAGCTGCATGGGCCTGCCCTGCAAGGATATAAGAGGGCCCACATAGAACTCCCACCAGCGACACAGAGAGAGAGCTGGGGCACATACAGATGCCTTCAGGGGTGCATATACCCCCCAAGGGGCCATAGGTGCCCTGTACATCCAGCCGACACTGTGTAAGTGACCGAACCCCGTTCCGAAGGTGCATAGGATGTAAGAGAACCCCTTTGCCCCCCCTGCCCATAGGAAGGTATAGGATCCACATGGGACCACACAAGCAGGGAGAACCCCCCTGAAGAAGGAGCCAGGCAGGTCAATGAATGGCAGCAGGTCCCTTGTATTGAACCCATCTGTGCCCCCCGACCCCAGCCAGTCCCTGCTCCCGTGGAGGGGGGGGCATGCGATGGGGGCCCCCCAAAGCGGCTGCTCGCCAGGAGCAGCCGGGGGGGGGCCAGGGTTGGGGGGGGTCATGGAGCGGGTCAAAGGGGAGGGGGTCACACCAGGGTGCCAGGGGGCTGTGGGTCCGGGGGGGGTGGAGGGGGGGCGGGCACAGGGGGGGGGTCCCCTGATGCCCTGGGGGGGGGGGGACACAGAAAAAGTAAAATAAAAAGGAGGAAAAAAGAGGGAAAAGAAGAGAAGAAAAACAGGAATTAGCCCCCCTGAAATAGCCCCGGACCCCTCCGCATCCCCCCCCACCCAGGGACAGGGACCGGCCCCAGAACCCAAGAGCTCAGCACAGAGAAGAAAGGGGGGGGGCATGAGAGACCCCCCCAGAAAGGGACAATGGAGGAGGGTTGGGGAATGGGGCAGGGACCCCTGAAATGGGTTGGTCTGGGGGAGGGTCGGGTCTGGGGTAGTGATGGGGGGGCCATAGGGGTTGTTTGAAGTGGTTTGAGGAGTCCCCAGTTTGGGGACATTCAGGATGGGGCTGGGGGGAGCAAGTGGAGGACAACCAGGCGCTATTGATGCCACCCCCAAAAACGGGGCCCAATTCACCTTGGACAGCCCCGATGGGGGGGGCACCCAATAGACACCCCCAAAGGACGGAGGAGGGGGCACCCAATGGGTCCCCAACACCTATTCCCCCCTCCCTGCTATGGGTGGGAGGGGTCCCCAAATCACCCCCCCCTTAGAACAGGGGGGCCCGGTACCCACGGGGGTGGCCGTACCTGGGCGCCAGGGCCCCGGCGTAGCTGAGCGAGTGGGGAAGGCCGGGAGGGGGGGGGTCTCTGCGGCGTGGGGGGGCCCACGCCGGGCCGGGGGGGGGCATCAGGCGGGGGGGGGTCCCCGTGTGCCGCAGGTACCAGTCCCGCAGCCCCTCCAGCGCCAACCACTTCTGGCTGCGGCGCTGCTCTGCCGAGGTGGGGGGCACGGGTTGGGGGGGGGCGGCACTGTCGGGGTGGGGGGCTCCCCCCCCGCTGCCCCCCCAGTCAATCAAGGCCTCGGAGCTGTTGCTGCGGCGGGTGCGGGGCGCCTGGGCAGGGGGGGGTGGCGCTGGGGGCCCCCCCAGCTGCGAGTCCTGGCTGCCTGACCAGGGCCGGGGGGGCAGCCCAGGGGCCTCAGGGCTGGGGAAGCAACACGACAGTGAGAGACACCCCCGGACCCTCCCCCTTACACAAGTGCCCCATAGATGCCCCATATGGCCCCGGAGAGCTCTTAAATTATCCTATAGCTCTCCTAAATTACTCTACAGACCCCTTAAATTGCCCCACAGACCCCCCAAATTACCCCATAACCCCCCAATTGCCCCATAGCCCCCCCCATGACCTATCCTCGCTACCCAGGGGCACCCACCGGCACAGTGGGTGCCCGCGGGCGCAGGGGCTCCGTGCCAGCACCGGGGTGGCCGGGACGCTGCGGCCCTCGAAGCTGGATGCGCTGCGAGGCAGGGTCCGTGCTGGGCTGCGTGGGGGCACAGCGTCGCATCAGTGGGGCGATGGGGACCCCGCAATGGGTTCTGTGGGGTTCTATGGGGGGGGCACACACGTACCTGGCGGGGCTGGCGAGGGAGCTGCGGCGCCCATCGGGGGCCCAGGGGAGCCGGCGCTCGGGGCTGCCGGGACTGGCTCGGGGTGGTGAGGGGCGGCTGGGGGCCACTGGGGCGGGCTTTGGGGTGGGCAGGGCCCCTGGGGAGAGGGGACAGCGGTGAGACACAGGCAGGCCCCCAGAGAGGCTACAATTGCCCCATGCCCCCAGTCCATCACTCACCATTCTCCAGCATGGGCAGCTCACAGAGGGACCCGTTCTCATCTGGGGAGGTTGAAGAGGGGGGAATCAGTGTCAATGGAGACCCTCCGAAACTTACCCCCCCCCAATACTCTGTGCCCCCTGCCCTGTGCTTTGGGTACCCCCAGCTCCTCTCCATGGGTCTGGAGCCCCCCATGTCCCCCTCTGGTTCTATGGGCACCCCCCCAGCTGCTCCCTCCCTCCCCGGTCCCCCCGCACCGTTGCCGGGTCCCAGCTGCGCCCGGAGCTGCCGCAGCCTCTGCGCCGCCTCCGCCTGCAGCCGCTGCCGCCGCCGGCGCTGCTCGGGGGCGAGCCCCGGGGCCGCCGCCAAGCGCCGCGCGGCCTCCACCACCTGCACCTGCAGCGCCACCTCCCGGCGGGCCGAGCGCGGCGCCTGCGGGGACGGGGACAGGAGCAGGGGTACCCCGGGACACGGGGTGGGATGGGGACAGGGGCAGCAATGGGGACACCATGGCACAGACACGGCAAAGGACAGGGACAGCAATGGGGACACAGTGAGCAGAGGGCAGGGACACCATGGCACAGACACGGCAAAGGACAGGGACAGCAATGGGGACACAGTGAGCAGAGGGCAGGGACACCATGGCACAGACACGGCAAAGGACAGGGACAGCAATGGGGACACAGTGAGCAGAGGGCAGGGACACCATGGCACAGACACGGCAAAGGACAGGGACAGCAATGGGGACACAGTGAGCAGAGGGCAGGGACACCATGGCACAGACACGGCAAAGGACAGGGACAGCAATGGGGACACAGTGAGCAGAGGGCAGGGACACCATGGCACAGACACGGCAAAGGACAGGGACAGCAATGGGGACACAGTGAGCAGAGGGCAGGGACACCATGGCACAGACACGGCAAAGGACAGGGACAGCAATGGGGACACAGTGAGCAGAGGGCAGGGACACCATGGCACAGACACGGCAAAGGACAGGGACAGCAATGGGGACACAGTGAGCAGAGGGCAGGGACACCATGGCACAGACACGGCAAAGGACAGGGACAGCAATGGGGACACAGTGAGCACAGCGTACGAACACCATGGCACAGACACAACACCAAAGGACAAGGACAGCACAGGGATAGCGGGGACAGGGGCAGCAAGGGATAAGGTCAGGGACACGGACATCAGAAAACAGGAATATCAGAGGATAGGGACAGGGGCAACGTGGGGTAGGGACCATAAACAGTGACAGGGATATTGATACCAAGGGGAAAGAACAGCGTGGGACAAAGACACAACAGGAACACCAGCACAGACAGGGACAGTGTGGGATGGGGACAGGGCAGCAAGAGGGACAAGGTCAGCATGGGACAGGGATGAGGATTGTGCCAGGGATAGGGTCAGGAACACCAGGAGACAAAGACAGTGCGAGAGAGGGATGGGGCCACCAAAGGATCGGGACAGAGTGGGACAGGAACCTGTGGGAGCCAAGACGCGTCCCCCGCAGTGGGGGGGCACAGTTTGGCCTTCCCCCCTCTCCCCCCATTGAACCCTCACTTACCTCAGGGAGGGGGCCCCGGGGGAGGGCCCGGCGGCGGGGGGGGGGGGCCTGCGGCCGCTCCCCAGGCTCCAGCGGGTACTCGGGGGGAAGCTTCCCCGTCAGCTCCTGTGCACAGGGGGGGCCATGGGGGGTGGGAAGGGAAGGGGGGGGCTCATTGGGGGGGGTCAGGAGGGGACGGTGGGACAGGAAGGTGCCAATGAGGAGGGGCTGGGAGGGAACTTGGGGGGGGACTGGGAGGGGATGGGGGCTGTCAGGAAGCTGGGGGGGGTGAGGGGTGCAATGGGGGGTGACGTGGGGCTGATGCGGAGCGGATGGAGTGCAAGGGGGGGGCAATGCGGGGGTCCCGGGGGGGTCACTCACGGCCTCCTGCAGGCAGAGGCGCCGCAGCTCCCGCAGGCGCAACCCCAGTGCCTGGCGCAGCCCCCGCTGCCGCTCCCGCAGCTCCTGCAGCCGCCCTGCGACAGGGCCTGCACCGGGACCAGCATCAGCATCGGCACCGGGACACTGCCACAGCACCGGCACTGGGACAGCACCAGCACCAGGACACTGCCACAGCACCGGCACTGGGACTGGCACCGGGACAGCACCGGCACCAGGACACTGCCACAGCACCGGCACTGGGAGAGCACCGGGACAGCACCGGCACACTGCCACAGCACCAGCATCGGCACCAGGACACTACCACAGCACCGGCACTGGGAGAGCACCGGCACCGGGACACTGCCACAGCACCAGCACCGGCAC